CATTAATCCAGAGGAAGCCCCAGAAAGTGGCCTTAAAACACTTGGAGTGAGTTTCACTATCAGAGATGCCAATCACTGCATACAGAAGAAGCTTTCCATACTGAGGACTGGGCACCAAAGTAAGTCCGAGGCCTGGGACACTCCCAGCGTAGGAGCATCTCAAAATTAAACTGTCTGGATTATCTAGCCATCTAAATCATGTTTATGATGGCCCACTGTGGCAAGGTCACTGTTCTGGGACAAGTCAGAGCTCCAGATGATTTGGAGTAGGGTAGTGGGACTCAAGGAAATAAGAGTAGGCTGGGAGCAGTGGCTCACGCTTGTAATCCCAGCACTTTGGGAGGCCGAAGCTGGTGGTTCATCTGAGGTCAAGAGTTGAAGACCAGCCTGGCCAACATGGTGAAACCCCATCTCTACTAAAAATACAAAAATTAGCTGGGCATGGTGGCACCAGCCTGTAATCCTAGCTACTCGGGAGGCTGAGGCAGGAGGAGCGCTTGAACCTGGGAGGTGAAGGTTGCAGTGACCAGGATAGTACCACTGCACTCCAGCACGGGCAACAGGAGCAAAATTTCGTCTCAAAAAAAAGAAAAAATAGAGTGACAGAATTTGGGGACTGATTGGTTGCCAGATGACAAGGTTACTCCAATTTACACTTCCTTTAATTCTTCCCACCTCCCACCCCAGGGCCCTATATGGGAATGAGGGAAGAATCCCATTCCAGCTCCAACAAGTCTCATGTATTTCAGACTGGTAAACATGGAGTGAGGGAATGGCTTGCACAGAGCAGTGGCTTGCCCTGGGTCACACTGAGACAGTAAGAACAGGGCTTGGCTTCAGCTCACCAAGACTAGAGCAGCAGTTCCCAACCTTTTTTGGCACGAGGGACTGGTTTTGTGGAAGACAATTTCCACGGACAGAGAGGGGATAGTTTTGGGATGACTCAAGCGCATTACATTTATTGTGCACTTTATTATTATTAATGTAACATTGTAATATATAATGAAAAGATTATATAACTCACCATAATGTAGAATCAGTGGGAGCCTTGAGCTTGTTTTCCTGCAACTAGACAGTCCCCTCTGGGGGTGATGGGAGACAATGACAGATCATCAGGTATTAGATTCTCATAAGGAGGCCAGGCGTGGTGGCTCATGCCTGTAATCCCAACACTTTGGGAGGCTGAGGCAGGTGGATCACCTGAGGACAGGAATTTGAGACCAGCCTGGCCAACATGGCAAAACCCCGTCTCTATTCAAAATACAAAAAAATTAGCTGGGCATGGTGGCAGGGCCTGTAATCCCAGCTACTCAGGAAGCTGAGGCATGAAAATTGCTTGAATCTGGGAGGCGGAGGTTGCAGTGAGCTGAGATCGAACCACTGCACTCCAGTCTGGGTGACAGGGTGAGACTCTGTCTCCAAAAAAAAAAAAACCAAAAAGATTATTATAAGGAGTGAACAACCTAGGTCCCTCACATGCAGAGTTCACAAAATAGGGTTTGTGCTCTTATGAGAATCCAATGCCTGGGCTGATCTAACAGGAGGTGGAGCTCAGGCGGTAATGCAAGGGATAGGCACCCTGTAAATACAGATGAAGCTTTGCTGGCTAACGTCCTGTTGTGTGGCCTGGTTCCTAACAGGACATGGACTTGTTCTGGTCTGTGACCTGGAGACTGGGCACCCCTGCACTAGAGCATTTTTTGTTGTTTTTGTTGTTGATACCGGTCTCGCTCTGTCTCCCAGGCTGGAGTGCAGTGGCACGATCTCCGCTCACTGCAAGCTCCGTTTCCCGGGTTCATGCCATTCTCCTGCCTCAGCCTCCCGAGTAGCTGGGACTACAGCTGCCCGCCACCACACCCGGCTAATTTTTTTGTATTTTTGGTAGAGTCGGGGTTTCACTGTGTTAGCTGGGATGGTCTGGATCTCCTGACTTCGTGATCCGCCCGCCTCGGCCTCCCAAAGTGCTGGGATTACAGGCGCGAGCCATCGCGCCCGGCCTGCACTAGAGCATTCTTTCATGGATTCCCACTTAAAAAACCCACACCACTATACCCATTAACTCTGAGGCTTTAGTCATACGAAGAAAAATAGCCATTATATAGATTGTTCTTTTGTGCTCTTATAATGTGTAATCATGCCCTTTACTTAAAGAATTCCAGGATCTAGAAAAAAAGAAAGAAAAAAAAAAGCCAGGTGTGGTGGATCACACCTGTAATCCCAGCACTTTGGGAGGCCAAGGTTGGGGGATCATGAGGTCAGGAGTTCAAGACCGGCCTGGCCAACATAGTGAAACCCTCTCTCTACCAAAAATACAAAAAAAAAAAAAAAAAAAAAAAATAGCCAGGCGGGGGGGTGGGTGCCTGTAATCCGTCTCAAAAAAAAAAAAAAAAAAAGAAAAAAGAAAAGAAAAGAAAGAAAAAAAAAAAAGAGGCTGGGCGCTGTGGCTTACACCTATAATCCCAGTACTTTGGGAGGCCAAGGCAGGAGGATTGCTTGAGCCTAGGAGTCCAAAACGAGCTTGGCCAACATAGTGAGCTCTCTTGTCTACAAAAAAAAATAATAATAATAATAAAATAAACCAGGTGTGGTGGTGCACACCTGTAGTCCCAGCTACTCTGGAGGCTGAGGCAGGAGGATCACTTGAGTCTGGGAGTTTGAGGCTGCAGTGAACCAAGATTGTGCCAATGTGCTCCAGCCTGGGCGACAGAGAGAGACCCTCTCTCAGAATGACTGACTGAATAAATAAATAAATAAATAAATAAAATAAAAAGAATTCTAGGATCTGGCCTTAGGAGATCCAAATTATCCAACCAAGGTTGTGAAATGTCTCATCTCAGGAAGAAATGCTGAACACTTCATTTAAAGCCTTGTTGCTGACAGCCAAACCACCAGGTAGCCCAGTACTCAAGATAATCATTGGCTGGGCGTGGTGGGTGGCTCACACCTGTAATCCCAGCACTTTGGGAGGCCAAGGCGGGTGGATCACCTCAGGTCAGGAGTTCGAGACCAGCCTGACCAACATGGTGAAACCATGTTGTTTCTACGAAAAATACAAAAATTAGCTGGGCGTGGTGGTGGGCACCTATAATCCCAGCTACTCAGGAGGCAAAGCAGGAGAATAACTAGAATCCAGGAGGCAGAGGTTGCAGTGGGCCAAGATTGTGCCATTGCACTCCAGCCTGGGCAACAAAGGAAGACTCAGTCTCAAAAATAGAAAAAGATAATCGTTACAACAGGATATGCTGACCTGCATATCCCACCCTCATAAGCTTTGTCCTGCCCAGCCTGTATACCTTACCCTTGATATCACTTTACGTGCTTTGCCTAATAAAAAATCTCAACCAGCTCTTTTCGGAGAGTCAGGGAATTCTTGCTCTCTTGTGCTGCCTCCCTTATACCCAGGCATAAGCTCCAATGAAGATTTGTCTGGGAAAACTCTTTTAGCTTCATGTTAATTTCTGTTGCATTGAGAGCCCAAGAACCCCTGGTAACAGCAGGCAGGTAGTGGAACTGGGTTGTCAAAAGAGAGATTTTAACTTTTTCTGACGCGCTTGTATCAGCAGTTTGTTTTGTTTTGTTGCTTTTTTTTGAGACTGAGTCTCCCACTCTCGCCCAGGCTGGAGTGCAGTGGCACCATCTCTGCTCACTGCAAGCTCCGCCTCCCCGGTTCACGCCATTCTCCTGCCTCAGCCTCCCGAGTAGCTGGGACTACAGGTGCCCGCCACCGCGCCCGGCTAATTTTTTGTGTTTTTAGTAGAGACGGGGTTTCACAGTGTTAGCCAGGATGGTCTCGATCTTATGACCTCGTGATCCGCCCGTCTCGGCCTCCCAAAGTGCTGGGATTACAGGCTTGAGCCACCGCGCCCGGCGGTTTTTTTTTTTTTAAGATGGAGTCTCGCTCTGTCGCCCAGGCTGGAGTGCAGTGGCGCGATCTCGGCTTACTACAAGCCCCGCCTGCCAGGTTCATGCCATTCTCCTGCCTCAGCCTCCTGAGTAGCTGGGACCACAGGTGCCCGCGACCACGCCCGGCTAATTTTTTTGTATTTTTAGTAGAGACGGGGTTTCACCATGTTTGCCAGGATGGTCTCGATCTCCCGACTTAGGGATCCGCTCTCCTCGGCCTCCCAAAGTGTTGGGATTACAGGCGTGAGCCACCGCGTCTGGCCTAATTTTTTATTTTTAGTAGAGACAGGGGTTTCACCATGTTGGCCAGGATGATCTCGATCTCCTTACCTCTTGATTCGATCTCCTGACCTCTTGATCCTCCCGTCTCGGCCTCCCAAAGTGCTGGGATTACAGGCGTGAGCCACCGTGCCCGGCCTTGTTTTCTAAATATATAAAGTCAGAAATAAACCCAAGTAACGAGCATATATATATATATATAAAATAACAAGCATATATATATATATTTTTTTTTGAGACGGACTCTTGCTTTGTCACCAGGCTGGAGTGCAATGGCACGATCTCGGCTCACTGCAACCTCTGCCCCCTGGGTTTAAGTGATTCTCCTGCCTCAGTCTTCCGAGTAGCTTCCACTACCAGCGCGCACCACCACGGCCGCTAATTTTTGTACTTTTAGTAGAGACAGGGTTTCCCCCTGTTGGCCAGGATGGTCTCGATCTCTGGACCTCGTGATCCGCCCGCCTCGGCCTCCTGAAGTGCTGGGATTACAGGCGTGAGCCACCATGCCCGGCCCTAACGAGCATATATTAATGTTGTAATTATATGTGTGTGTATATGTGTGTGTGGTTTTGTTTTCTATATAAAGTCAAAAGAGAGTGTATGTGTGTGTGTGTTTGTGTGTGTGTGGTTTTGTTTGTTTTCTAAATATATAAAGTCAGAAATAAACCCAGGTAACCCAGCCGCCTGGGAAAGGTGGTATCTGGCCCGCCCCATTCCAGCCTGAACTCCGCCCACCGCGATCCGGAAGCCCAGCGCTCAGCGGGTTGCAGGAGAAACTCGGAGCTGAATACCCGGCCGGACCCTGGACGCTGAGCTCAGGAGCCTGCGCAGAAGGTGTCGGAGGCGCATGCTCTGTAGCGGTCTGTGCAGCCAGCATTGGCGCCCGCGCGGGCCTTTGAGCCCCGCCCGCAGAGCCCCTCCCGCAAAGCCCCACCCGGGTGCGCGGGCATGGCGGCCAGCCTGTGGATGGGCGACGTGAGTGAGGGTAGTAGTCCAGGGTCAGAGGACGAGGAAGCATCTCGGTTTCGCGAGGGAGGAAGTGTCTGAGGAGGAGGGGACTTGGGATCCCAAAAAGGGGAGACGTGTGACCGGGTTCTTTTTGGTGACACAGAAGCGGATTCCAGCATCTAAGTGAAAAAGCTGAGTCCGTGAGGCTAGGGGTCCTGGGGCCCCCCCTGGGTTCGTGGGAGGGAAAGGTGGTGCTTTGGGGACATAGAATGGGAGGAATCCAAGGACTGAGGCGCGCTGTTTTAGGACTGGAGGAGTGGGGTTTCTAGGTCCAAGGGGAGGCTCCCTAAAGGCGGGCAAGCTTGAACCAAAGGAGCTGGGGTTTCGGGCCGCTCAGCGGAGGCGAACCTCGCCGCTCGCTCCCCCAGCGGCGCGTAGCCAGCCCTGGGCTGACGGAGAGGGGCTCTGGAACCCGGAGTGGGAAGCCCGGCTGCCAGCCTGAGCCGCTACGCTCTTGTTTTTACGCAGCTGGAACCCTACATGGATGAGAACTTCATCTCCAGAGCTTTTGCCACCATGGGGGAGACGGTAATGAGCGTCAAAATTATCCGAAACCGCCTCACTGGGTAAGTCTCATCTCAGGTCTCCCTTAATACATCTCGTTGCAGCTGTCCTGTACGAGAATGTAAACATCGTAGTCATGGCTTCTCACTACCCCTAGTGATAGTCACTGTAAAATTATAACGGCTAACATTTTGAGGCCCTAATGAGTGGAAGGATAGCATGTAGCTTAAGGGCAGGACTTGCCAGGCGTGGTGGGTCACACCGTAATCCCAGCACTTTGGGAGGCCGAGGTCAGGAGTTTGAGACCAGCCTGGCCAACATGGTGAAACCCCGTCTTGGGAGTGGATACTTTGGCAAGATGGCGGGGAGCGGCGTCCGCCAAGCTGCCTCTACCGCCAGCACTTTTGTGAAGCCCATTTTCAGTCAGGACATGAACGAGGCCAAGCGGAGGGTGCGCGAGCTCTACCGCGCTTGGTATCGGGAGGTGCCGAACACTGTACACCAATTCCAGCTGGACATCACTGTCAAAATGGGACGGGATAAAGTCCGAGAAATGTTTATGAAGAATGCCCACGTCACAGACCCCAGGGTGGTTGATCTTCTGGTCATTAAGGGAAAGATGGAACTGGAAGAAACAAAGTATGGAAGCAGCGGACACATGTTATGCGGTTCTTCCATGAAACAAAAGCGCCAAGGCCGAAGGATTTCCTATCCAAGTTCTATGTTGGCCATGACCCATGAAGTCACTCAGTGGAAAGGTGCCTGTTGATATTATTTTAGAGCACAAATAAACTCACTATGCGATGGTCAAAAAAAAAAAAAAAAAAAAAGAAACCCCGTCTCTACTAAAAATAACAAAAATTAGCTGGGTATGTTGGCAGGCACCTGTAATCCCAGCTACTGGGGAGGCTGAGGCATGAGAATCGCTTGAACAAGGGAGGCGGAGGTTGCAGTGAGCCGAGATAGTGCCACTGTACTCCAGCCTGGGCAAGAAGAGGAAAACTCTGTCTCAAAAAAAAAAAAAACAAAAAACAAAAGGCAGGACTCAAGCGAGACTGGGTTTTAAAACTATTTCTACTGTATGATCTTGGGTAAGTTACTTAACTGCTGTGTCTCATTTGCTTTGAGTATAAAAATGGAAATAATAACAGCACGTATCTCCTAGAGTTATGGTGAGGATTAAATGAGTTAATTCACATTCATCATTAGGACAGTGTCAGGCATATAGCATATGCTCAGTAAGTATAGTCAGATTACTATCTGCTGAGTAATAAGCACTTTACATTTATTATCTTCTTAAAACCTCAGACACCTCTGAGGTAAGTAAGTACTATTATGAGGAGGCTTAATTAAGAGTTGCAGTAAAGCCTGGTGCGGTGGCTTACACCTGTAATCCCAGCACTTTGGGAAGCTGAGGCAGACAGATCACGAGGTCAGGAGATGGAGACCATCCTGGCTAACACAGTGAAACCCCATCTCTCTACTAAAAATACAAAAAGCCGCCGGGCGCGGTGGCTCACGCCTGTAATCCCAGCACTTTGGGAGGCTGAGGCGGGCGGATCACAAGGTCAGGAGATCGAGACCATCCTGGCTAACACGGTGAAACCCCGTCTTTACTAAAAATACAAAAAATTAGCCGGGCGTGGTGGTGCGCGCCTGTAGTCCCAGCTACTCGGAGGCCGAGGCAGGAGAATGGTGTGAACCCAGGAGACGGAGCTTGCAGTGAGCCGAGATCGGGCCACTGCACTCCAGCCTAGGTGACAGAGCGAGACTCCGTCTCAAAAAAAAAAAAAAAAAAAAAGAAAAGCCAGAAGTGGTGGTGGGTGCCTATAATCCCAGCTACTTGGGAGGCTGAGTCAGGAGAATCGCTTGAACCCGGGAGGCGGAGCTTGTAGTGAACTGAGATTGCACCACTGCACTCCAGCCTGGGTGACAGAGTGAGACTCCGTCCCAAAAAAAATAATAATAATATAATAAATAACAAATGAGGACTTGAATTTGAGTCTATCCTGAAAGCTCATGAGGGCCCTTAACTTTTATGCCATTCATTTAAAAAATTGTGGAGGCCGTCGGGGTGCCTCACACCTGTAATCCCAGCAGTCTGGGAGGTGAGGAGGGCAGATCACCTGAAGTCAGGAGTTCGAGACCAGCCTGACCAACATGGAGAAACCCCATCTCTACTAAAAATACAAAAATTAGCCGGGCGTGGTGGTGCATGCCTGTAATCCCAGCTACTTGGGAGGCTGAGGCAGGAGAATCGCTTGAACCTGGGAGGTGGAGGTTGCAGTGAACTGAGATCATGCCATTGCACTCCAGTCTGGGCAATAAGAGCGAAACTCCATCTCAAAAAAAAAAAATTGTTTGCGGAGATACTACTATGTGCTACTGTTCTAGATTCCTGGCTGAAATAATCCAGATATAGCCCCTGCTCATGGAGTTTACTACATTCTAGTGGGCAATAAGACAATAAATAAGTAAACAAAACCAAATACACAATGTTTTCAGATAGTGGTGCTCTATTGCCTCCATTTTCTTCTTTCTCTTTGAGGTCTTAGTTTTCCTTAGGGAATTATCCATTTGCTAGTGCAGCCACTCTTTTCTAGGTACTCTACTACAGGTGGCCTGCTAAAACATCAAATGGTTTAAAAGTAGAGATGAGACATTTGAAAGATACTTTGTGTATTCAGAACCCCATTACCTAGGAAAAGATTTTTCTGACTGGTAAATAATGCCCACCTAAATATTTCTCTTCTTGCTCTTCTAAGCAGAAAATCCCAGATAATTAGCTACTGGTATGAAAATTCATTCTGTAACACTTTCTTTTTTATGATTATTATTATTATTATTTATTTTGTTGTTGTTGTTGTTGTTGAGACGGAGTCTCGCTCTGTCACCCAGGCTGGAGTGCAGTGGCCGAATCTCAGCTCACTGCAAGCTCCGCCTCCCAGGTTTACGCCATTCTCCTGCCTCAGCCTCCCAAGTAGCTGGGACTACAGGTGCCCGCCACCTTGCCCAGCTAGTTTTTTGTATTTTTTTTTAGTAGAGACGGTGTGTTCACCAGGATGATCTCGATCTCCTGACCTCGTGATCCGCCCGTCTCGGCCTCCCAAAGTGCTGGGATTACAGACTTGAGCCACCGCGCCCGGCCTTATTATTATTATTTTTTATTATACTTTAAGTTCTAGGGTACATGTGCACAATGTGCAGGTTTGTTACATATGTATACTTGTGCCATGTTGGTGTGCTGTGCCCATCAACTCGTCAGCACCCATCAACTCATCATTTACATCAGGTGTAACTCCCAATTCCATCCCTCCCTCCTCCCCCTCTGTAACACTTTCTACTTTTTTTTTTTTTTTTTTGAGACGGAGTCTTGCTCTGTCACCCGGGCTGGAGTGCAGTGGCCGGATCTCAGCTCACTGCAAGCTCCGCCTCCCGGGTTTACGCCATTCTCCTGCCTCAGCCTCCCGAGTAGCGGGGACTACAGGCGCCCGCCACCTCACCCGGCTAGTTTTTTGTGTTTTTTTTAGTAGAGACGGGGTTTCACTGTGTTAGCCAGGATGGTCTCGATCTCCTGACCTCGTGATCCGCCCGTCTCGGCCTCCCAAAGTGCTGGGATTACAGGCTTGAGCCACCGCGCCCGGCCAACACTTTCTACTTTTTAAAACACTGGCATAGGCTGGGCACAGTGGCTCATACCTGTAATCCCAGCACTTTGGGAGGCTGAAGCGGGCAGATCACTTGAGGTCAGAAATTTGAGACCAGCCTGGACAACATGGTGAAATCCCATCTCTACTGAAAGAAATACAAAAATTAGCCAGGTGTGGTGACACACACCTAAAGTTCCAGCTACTTGGGAGGCTGAGGCAGGAGAATTGTTTGAACCCAGGAGGCGGAGGTTGCAGTGAGCCGAGATCGTGCCACTGCGCTCTAGCCTGGGCGACAGAGGGAGACTTTGTCACAAAAATAAATAAATAAATAAAACACTGGCATAGATTCTCACATTTTAATCTTTTTTTTTTTTTTTTCTGAGGTGTAGTCTCGCTCTGTTGCCCAGGCTGGAGTACAGTGGCACAATCTTGGCTCACTGCCACCTCCGCCTCCTGGGTTCAAGCCATTCTCCTGTCTGAGACTGTCCAGTAGCTGGGAATCACAAGTGCCTGCCACCACGCCCGGCTCTTTTTTTTTGAGACGGAGTCTTGCTGTGTCGCCCAGGCAGGAGTGCAGTGGTGCAATCTCAGCTCTCTGCAACCTCTGCCTCCCAGGTTCAAGTAATTCTCCTGCCTCGGCCTCCTGAGTACCTGGGACTACAGGCATGTGCCACCACATCCAGCTAATTTTTTGTATTTTTAGTAGAGATGGGATTTCACCGTGTTAGCCAGGATGGTCTCAATATCCTGATCTCCGCCTGCCTCGGCCTCCCAAAGTGCTGGGATTACAGGTATGAGCCACTGCGCCTGGCCTAATTTTTTCTATTTTTAGTGTAGACGGGGTTTCACCATGTTGGCCAGGCTAGCCTTGAACTCCTAACCTCAGTTGATCTGTCCGCCTTGGCCTCCCAAATTGCTGAATTACAGGCATGATCCACTGGGACCAGCTTTACTCTATTGAAATAAGATTTAGAGGCCGGGCACAGTGGCTCACGCCTGTAATCCAGCACTTTGGGAGGCCAAGGTGGGTGGATCACGAGGTCAGGAGATCGAGACCATCCTGGCTAACACGGCGAAACCCCGTCTCTACTAAAAATACAAAAAAATTAGCCGGGCGTGGTGGCGGGCGCCTGTAGTCCTAGCTACTCGGGAGGCTGGGGCAGGAGAATGGCATGAGCCTGGGAGGCGGAGCTTGCAGTGAGCCGAGATTGTGCCATTGCACTCCAGCCTGGGCGAGGAGCAAGACTCCGTCTCAAAAAAAAAAAAAAAAAAAAAAAAGAAATAAGATTTCACGAGACGGAGTGCTGCTCTGTTGCCTGGCTGGAGTGCAGTGGCGGATCTCAGCTCACTGCAGAAGCTCCGCCTCCCGGTTTTTTTTTTTTTTTTTTTTTTGAGACGGAGTCTTGCTCTGTTGCCCTGGCTGGAGTGCAGTGGCCGGATCTCAGCTCACTGCAAGCTCCGCCTCCCGGGTTTACGCCATTCTCCTGCCTCAGCCTCCTGAGTAGCTGGGACTACAGGCGCCCGCTACCTCGCCCGGCTAGTTTTTTGTATTTTTTAGTAGAGACGGGGTTTCACTGTGTTAGCCAGGATGGTCTCGATCTCCTGACCTCGTGATCCGCCCGTCTCGGCCTCCCAAAGTGCTGGGATTACAGGCTTGAGCCACCGCACCCGGCCAGAAATAAGATTTAGAACTCTCGTTTCTTACATGTTTGTTTTTTGTTTTTTGTTGTTTTTTTTTTTACTTTGAGATGGAGTTTTGCCCTTGTCACCCAGGCTATATTATATATTATTTTTTCTTGGGTCTTTTCTCCTTTTCTCTAATCTTGGTGTTTTGTTTTGAGACAGTCTTGCTCTGTCACCAGGCTGGAGTGCAGTGGCGCAATCTCAGCGCACTGCAATCTCCATCTCTCGAGTTCAAGCCATTCTCCTGCCTCAGCCTCCTGAGTAGCTAGGACTACAGGCACGCGCCACCACGCCCAGCTCATTTTTGTGTTTTTAGTAGAGATGGGGTTTCACAGTGTTGGCCAAGATAGTCTTGATCTGTTGACCTTGTGATCCGCCCGCCTTGGCCTCCCAAAGTACTGGGATTACAGGTGTGAGCCGCTGCACCTGGCCAACACCCACCTAATTTTTGTCTTTTTTTTTTTTTTGAGACGGAGTCTCGCTCTGTCGCCCAGGCTGGAGTGCAGTGGCCCGCTCTCTGCTCACTGCAAGCTCCGCCTCCTGGGTTCGCACAATTCTCCTGCCTCAGCCTCCCGAGCAGCTGGGACTACAGGCGCCAGCCACCTCGCCCGGCTTATTTTTTTGTATTTTTAGGAGAGACGGGGTTTCACCATGTTAGCCAGGATGGTCTCGATCTCCTGACCTCGTGATCCGCCCGTCTAGGCCTCCCAAAGTGCTGGGATTACAGGCTTGAGCCACCGCGCCCGGCTTTTTTTTTTTTTCTTTTGAGACGAGTCTCGCTCTATTGCCCAGGCTGGAGTGTAGTGGCAAGATTTCAGCTCACTGCAACCTCCGCCTCCCCAAATTCAAGCAGTTCTCCTGCCTCAGCCTCCTGTGTAGCTGGGATTATAGGCACGTGCCACTATGCCTGGCTAATTTATTTATTTATTTATTTTTTATTTTTATTTTTTTTAGTGGAGACGGGGTTTCACCGTGTTGGTCAGAACTCCTGACCTCGTGATCCACCCGCCTTGGCCTCCCAAAGTGTTGAAATTACACGCATGAGCCACCGCGCCAGGCCTGCCTGGTTAATTCATTTATTTATTTATTTTTTGAGATGAAGTCTTGCTTTGTCGCCAGACTGGAGTGCAGTGGCATGATCTCGGCTCACTGCAATCTCTGCCTCCGGGTTCAAGTGATTCTTGTGCCTCAACCTCCTGAGTAGCTGGGATTACAGGCATACACCATCACACCCAGCTAATTTTTGTATTTTTTTTGTTTTTGAGACGCAGTCTCGCTGTGTCACCCAGGCTGGAGTGCAGTGGTGCGATCTCGGCTCACTGCAACCTCTGCCTCCCGGGTTCAAGCAATTCTCCTGCCTCAGGCTCCCGAGTAGCTGGGACTACAGCACACAACACCATGCCTGACTAACTTTTTTTTTGTATTTTTAGTAGAGATGGGGTTTCACCGTGTTGCCCAGGTTGGTCTCAAACTCCTAAACTCAGTCAATCTGCCCGCCTCCGCCTCCCAAAGTGCTGGGATTATAGGCGTGAGCCACCGAGCCTGGCCAATTTTTGTATTTTCAGTAGAGGAGGGGTTTCACCATGTTAGCCAGGATGGTCTCGATCTTCTGACCTTGTGATCTGCCTGCCTCGGCCTCCCAAAGTGCTGGGATTACAGGTGTGAGCCACTGTGCCCGGCCTGACCTTGTCTCTTAAATAAATAGTCAGACTCCTGAATTCAGTTCTATACTTTGGCACATACCAGCTTTGTGATTTGGTTTTCTTTTGTTTGTTTGTTTTGTTTTGTTTTTACAAGGTTTCACTTTGTTGCCCAGGCTGGAGTGCGGTTGCGTGAACAAGGCTGACCACAGCCTCAATCTTATGGGCTCAGGCAGTTCTCCTGCCTCACCCATCCAAGTAGCTGGGACTACAGGTGCACTCCACCCATACCCAGCTAATTTTTGTATTTTTTGTAGCGGTGGTGTTTTCCCATCTTGCCCAGGCTCATCTTTTTATTGGTGATAGCTTTATAGGGTGATGTTAAGAAAAATTTGACATTTTTCAGTATAAATCTCTTCGGTTGTCATATTCTCTTACTTATGTCTCTTAGTGACTCTTTCAAAGATAGAATGCTCAGAATCTCACAGACACCCCCTGGTTAGGTACAGTCTATCGGGTTTTTTTGAGACTCTGTCTCAAAAAAAAAAACAAAGATAAAAGAAAAAATAAACATTTATCTATATTTGCTAGATAATTTCTTTTTTTTTTTTTTTTTTTATTTGGAGACGGAGTCTCGCTCTGGCTGGAGTGCAGTGCAGTGGTGTGATCTTGGCTCACTGCAAGCTCCACCTCCCGGGTTCACACCATTCTCCTGCCTTAGCCTCCCGAGTAGCTGGGACTACAGGCGCCCACCACCACACCTGGCTAATTTTTTTTTTTTGTATTTTTCAGTACTGATGGTGTTTCACCATGTTAGCCAGGATGGTCTTGATCTCCTGACCTTGTGATCCGCCTGCCTCAGCCTTCCAAAGTGCTGGGATTACAGGCATGAGCCACCGCGCCTGCCTAATAATTTCTTTTCCTGAGCCATATGAAAGTTAATTGTAGGCTGGGCATGGTGGCTCACGCCTACAATTCCAGTGCTTTGGGAGGCCGAGGTGTGTGGATCACCTGAGGTCAGGAATTCAAGACCAGCCTGGCCAACATGGTGAAACCCCATCTCTACTGAAAATCCAAAAATTAGCCAGGCATGGTGGTGGGCGCCTATAGTCCCAGCTACTCAGGAGGCTGAGGGAGGAGGATCCCCTGCACCCAGGAGATGGAGGTTGCAGTGAGCCAATATTGTGCCCCTACACTCCAGCCTGGGCAGTAGAGCGCATTGTGTCCCTTCACTGCTAAGTATCTCTGCGATCTTGCCAGAAACTGGACATTTTCTTATGTAACCACAATGCTTCTATTACACTAACAAAATTATCAGTGATTCTCTAATACCATATAATAGCAAGTCTACATTTAAATTTTTGTAATTGTCCCTACAATATTTTTTTAGTGAATTATAATTCAATCCAGGAACCTGAATTGCATTTAGTTTTTCTGAGTCTCTTTTAATGTACAAAAGCCAACCTCTTTCTTTCCTCATACTGTTTAGCTTTTTTTTTTTGGAGATGGAGTCTGGCTCTGTCTCCCAGGCTGGAGTGCAGTGGCCGGATCTCAGCTCACTGCAAGCTCCGCCTCCCGGGTTTACGCCATTCTCCCGCCTCAGCCTCCCGGGTAGCTGGGACTACAGGCGCCCGCCACCTCGCCCGGCTAGTTTTTTGTATTTTTTTAGTAGAGACAGGGTTTCACCGTGTTCGCCAGGATGGTCTTGATCTCCTGACCTCGTGATCCGCCCGTCTCGGCCTCCCAAAGTGCTGGGATTACAGGCTTGAGCCACCGCGCCTGGCCCCCTCTTTAGCTTTTTAAAGAGGTAAGACTAGTTGTCTTTATAAGATGCTACATTCCGAGGCCGAGTGTGGTGTCTCACGCCTGTAATCCCAGAACTTTGGGAGGCCGAGGTGGGCGGATCACCTGAGGTCGGGAGTTCAATACCAGCCTGACCAACATGGAGAAACCCCATCTCTACTAAAAATACAAAATTAGCTGGGCATGGTGGCACATGCCTGTAATCCCAGCTACTCGGGAGGCTGAGGCAGGAGAATCACTTGAACCTGGGAGGTGAAGACAGGAGAATCTCTTGAACCCAGGAGTCAGAGGTCACGGTGAGCCAAGATTGCGTCATTGCACTCCAGCCTGGGCAACAAGAGCAAAACTCGGTCTCAGGAAGAAAAAAAAAAAAAAAATCATACTTTCTGGATTCATTTGTTTACTTGTGGTGGTTTGCATAGTCTGTCCCTAAAATTTCCTGGAAACTGGTTATTAGATCTAAAGGCTTGATGGGATTGCATAATACAATTTTGGCAAGAGTATTCACACATGATAAAATGCATAAATAAATGTTTACTAAATGAGTCTGGGGCCAGGTGCCTTTGCTCACGCCTGTAATCCCAGCACTTTGGGAGGCCGAAGTGGGTGGATCCCCTGAGGTCAGGAGTTCAAGATCAGCCTGGCCAACATGACAAAATCCCATCTCTACTAAAAATACAAAAATGAGCCAGGCGTGGTGGTGGGTACCTGTAATTCCAAGTATTCATGAGGATAATTGCTTGAACCTGAGAGGCTGAGGTTATAGTGAGCTGAGATTGAGCTGATATCTGTCTCATAAATAAATAAAGATGAATGAATCTTGGACTGGCCCAGATGGGCATCCTTATATTCATGTTTGTAAATTAGGTCTGAGCTGGGGTATGGCAGGGAACAAAAACAGTGTTGACTCAGATTAGAAAACCGTTTCTTTCTCCCTTCAAGGCTAAGACCCATCTTGAGCCTGTTTGTTTTTTTTTAAGTCGCAAACCAGCCTGTTGCTCAGGCTGGAGCAATGTGGCATGATCTCAGCTCACTGCAACCTCCACCTCCAGGGTTACAGCAATTCTCCTGCCTCAGCCTCCTGCGTAAACTGGGACTACAGGTGTGCGCCACCATGCCCAGCTAATTTTTGTATTTTTAGCAGAGATGGGGTTTCAGCATGTTGGCCAGGCTGGTCTTGAACTCCCGACCTTGAGTGATCCGCCTGCCTCAGCCTCCCAAACTGTTGGGATTATAGGTGTGAGCCATTGCGCCTGGCCTCATCTTGAGCCATTTTATCTGTAACCATTTTCTTTCTCTGCTTTTTTTTCCAGGATCCCAGCTGGCTACTGCTTTGTAGAATTCGCAGATTTGGCCACTGCTGAGAAGTGTTTGCATAAAATTAATGGGAAACCCCTTCCAGGAGCCACACCTGTAAGGACATTGAGATAATGATGATGTTGCCATTATTATTGTCATTGCTTACTACCATCTATTGAATCTCTACTGTATACTTTTTTTATATAATCCTGTAACAACCCTGTACAGTAGGCATTGTTGTCTTTATAGGCCCAGGAAACTGAAGCTCAGGGAATTGAAATAACTTGCCCAAGGCAACACAGGTAGTAAATGGCAGAGCCAGGATTCAGACTGAAGATTGGTTGCCTCCCAAATCCATGCCTTTCCATTCTGCATCACTGCCTCCCATAACAGAAGACTTGAAACTATAGACCTCTTGCCTGATTGAGAAACTAGGATAGGCTGGCAGCAGCAAGGACACATTTCAAGAGAGTTGCATTCTGCTCTTCCCACAGTTACTTAGCTTACAGCTGCACCAGCTGGCACACCTGGGCTCATAGAACCATGGAGCTGGCAGTGCCCTTAGCGGTCATCCGTGCAACCCCCTCATTTTATACAGGAGAAAAAGCTGAGGCTTAGAGAGGGGGAGATGTTTTGGCCAAGGTAATTTATTTCAGTTTTTTTCAAATATTGTTCAACTCTTGAAACACCTTTCTCTGTTTTAGTTTGTTTGTTTTTAAACTTCCAGGCGAAACGTTTTAAACTGAACTATGCCACTTATGGGAAACAACCAGATAACAGGTAGGTACAAAGTCATGTCTAGACAGACATAACATATGTCACTGTGCCCATCACTGCCATATAGGAGGAGGGGAGCCGGTTTGGCTGCACTTGGTCCCCTCCTGAAGGACAACGCCCTTCTCCCTTCCTTGCTGGTGGACCTTCCTGGTGTGCTTCATGCAAGGCCCTGGCTTTTCTGTATTTGGTCCCTACCCCTGGCTTCCCACCCTGCTACTCCTCACAGTATTGAAGTTTTATTCAATAAGAATTGCCCTGTTAACCAGGTTCAGTGGCTCATACCTATAATCCCAGCACTTTGGGAGGCCAAAACAGGCTGAGTGCCTGAGCCTAGGAGTTCAAGAATAGCCTGGGCAATGTGGCAAAACCCCGTCTCTACAAGAAAATACAAAAATTAGCTGAGCATGGTGGCATACACCTGTAGTCCCAGCTACTCAGGAGGCTGAAGCAGGAGGATCACCTGAGCCCAGAGAGGGCTACAATGATCAAGGCTACCATGAGCCATGATCGTGCCACTGCACTCCAGCCTGGGCAACAGAGTGAGAACCTGTCTCAAAAAAGAAACCCAATGAATTGACCTGTTATTGCAACATAAATTGATTGGAATTTCAGGTTGCCATTTGAAAGCATTAAAACTGTACCAAAAACTTAAAAAACATTTAGATGCATTAACCCTATATTCAACTTTTCAGGATTTATTCATGGATGTGTGCAAAGATTAGCCTCAGATGTGTTCATTGAAGTATTGCATATAATGACTCAAGTTGGGGAAAACCCAAATAACCTAATAGTAGGGAAGTGATTAAATTATGGTCATTAGTTAGGATGCTGTATATCCACTGACAAGTCATATTGCAGCATACTGACATGTCAAGATGTTGGCAATATGTTGAAAGTGAAAAAAAATACTAGAAACAAAATACGATGGATCGTATTTATGAACATTTTAGAAGAAAAGCCATAAGAAAAGAAGATAAAAGTATACCTATCAAAGCATTTCTCGTGAGTGCCTTCAAGTGGTTGAGTTATAGCAATTTTGTTTTTCTTTGTGCTTTTGTGTATTCTTTTTTTTTTTTTTTTGAGACAGAGTCTTGCTCTGTTGCCCAGGCTGGAGTGCAGTGGCGTGACGTCCACTCACTGCAAGCTCCGCTCCCCCTGCCCTGGGTTCACGCCATTCTCCTGCCTCAGCCTCCCAAGTAGCTGGGACCACAGGTGCCCGCCACCACGCCTGGCTAATTTTTTTGTATTTTTAGTAGAGACGGGGTTTCACCATGTTTGCCAGGATGGTCTCGATCTCCTGACTTAGTGATCCACCCATCTTGGCCTCCCAAAGTGCTGGGATTACAGGCGTGAGCCACTGCACCCGGCCTTTTTTTTTTTTTTTTGAGACAGAGTCTTGCTTTGTGGCCCAGGCCGGAGTGCAGTGGCGCTATCTCAGCTCACTGCAAGCTCCGCCTCCCGGGTTCACACCATTCTCCTGCCTCAGCCTCCTGAGTAACTGGGACTACAGGCTCCCGCCACCATGCCCGGCTAAATTTTTTGTATTTTTAGTAGAGGTTTAGTAGGGGTTTCACCGTGTTAGCCAGGATGGTCTCAATCTCCTGACCTTGTGATCCGCCCGCCTCGGCCTCCCAAAGTGCTGGGATTACAGGTGTGAGCCTTTGCGCCTGGCCTGTTCTTTTGTGTATTCTTTTTTTTTTTTTTCCTGAGATGGAGTCTCACTCTGTCGCCCAGGCTGGAGTGCAGTGGCACAATCTTGGCTCACTGCAACCTCTGCCGCCCAGGTTCAAGCAATTTTCCTGCCTCAGCCTCCCGAGTAGCTGGGATTACAGGCGCCTGCCACTGCGCCCAGCTAATTTTTGTATTTTTAGTAGAGACGGGATTTCACCATCTTGGCCAGGCTGGTTTTGAACTCCTGACCTTGTGATCCACCTGCCTTGGTCTCCCAAAGTGCTGGGATTATAGGCGTGAGCTGCCGCGCCCGGCCTTGTGTATTCTTATTGTATAAGGAATATGTATCATACTTGAAATAAGATAATAACAAAGGTCGGCTGGACACGGTGGCTGCACTCACGTAATACTTGAAGTCAGACAAGTTCTGTGGAGTGGGTGAGGGATTTGGGGCAGGGACTATTTCTATAACTCTTCTGCCAGGACTGCTCTAATGAAACAAAGTAGGGCCTGATTCAGTAGACCTATCAAATGTGTTCCTTAAGGGGCCTGGGAGAGGTTTACCTGGAATATGCAACAGAGCTCTTCAGAGCAGAGGTTTTGGTCTTTGCCTCTGAATCTTCTTGTTCTTTCTCCTCAGCCCTGAGTATTCCCTCTTTGTGGGGGACCTGACCCCAGACGTGGATGATGGCATGCTGTATGAATTCTTCGTCAAAGTCTACCCCTCCTGTCGGGGAGGCAAGGTGGTTTTGGACCAGACAGGCGTGTCTAAGTAAGGCCTTACCTGTTACTGATGCTTAACTGTGTTAGTTTCAGCATTTCTCTCCTGAGTGGAGATGTTTTAGAAAGGCCATGCAGCACGGCAGTTAAGACCACAAGCTTTGGAGCCAAACTGCCTGGTTCGAATCCCATTTCCAATACTGGTGAGGGAGAATGCCAGTATGGTAGAATTGAGGCTCCATGACCCTTACAGTCCCATCTGTAAAATGGAACTGATTAATAATAGCTGCTGGTAGGGTTGATGTAAGGATTAAAGGATATAATATAAATAAGTCAACATTTGAAATGCTTTATAGGTGTTTGCTGTTTTGCTTGTTATTGTTACTGAGCCTTTCAGTGTAGTTAAAAGTGTTCCATGGCCGGGCGCGGTGGCTCAAGCCTGTAATCCCAGCACTTTGGGAGGCCGAGACGGGCGGATCATAAGGTTAGGAGATCGAGACCATCCTGGCTAACATGGTGAAACCCTGTCTCTACTAAAAAAATACAAAAAAACTAGCCGGGCAAGGTGGTGGGCGCCTGTAGTCCCAGTTACTCGGGAGGCTGAGGCAGGAGAATGGCGTGAACCCAGGAGGCGGAGCTTGCAGTGAGCCGAGATCATGCCACTGCACTGCAGCCTGGGCGACAGCCGAGACTCCGTTTCACAAAAAAAAAAAAAAAAAAAAAAGAAGTGTTTCACTTCAGGCTGGGCGTGGTGGCTCATGCCTGTAATCCCAACACTTTGAGAGGCTGAGGTGGGCGGATTGCGTGAGCTTAGGAGTTTGAGACCAGCCCGGGCAACACAGTGAAATGCCATCTCTATTAAAATACAAAAAATTAGCCAGGTGTAGTGGTGTGCGCCTGTAGTCCCAGCTAGTTGGGAGGCTGAGGTAGGATAATTGCTTGAACCTGAAAGGCAGAGGTTACAATGAGCCAAGATTATGCCTCTGCACTCCAGCCTGGGTGACAGAGTGAGTCTCAGTCTCCATTAAAAAAAAAAAAAAAAAAGTTGGCCTGGCGCAGTGGCTCACGCCTATAATCCCAGCACTTTGGGAGGCTGAAGTGGATGGATCACCTGAGGTCAGAAGTTTGAAACCAACCTTGCTAACGTGGCAAAACCCCGTCTCTACTAAAAAAATACAAAAGTTAGCCGGGCGTGGTGGCACGCGCCTGTAGTCCCAGCTACTTGGGAGGCTGAGGCAGAATTGCTTGAATCCAGGAGGCAGAGGTTGCAGTGAGCTGAGATCACGCAGCTGTGCTCCAGCCTGGGTAACAGCGAGACTCCCTCTCAAAAGAAGAAAAAAATGGAAATAGAAAAACCTCAAGAAAGGCTCATTCTTGATCAGTATGGTAGTTACATGTTCAGGCTTTGACAGTCCAACAGGTGTGGCTTGAATCATGATTCTGCTATGACTTTGGGCAAGCTGTTAAATCTCCCTGAATTGGTTACCTCTTCAGTAAATGTGGATACCACTTTCGTAGAATTGTTAAGACAGTTTGATGAGATCACCCTGAGAAAATGCTCAGCACAGGTTGGGCGCGGTGGCTCATGCCTGTAATCCCAACACTTTGGGAGACCAAGGTGGGCAGATCACCTGAGGTCAGGAGTTCCAAGACCAGCCTGGCCAACATGGTGAAACCCTGTCTCTACTAAAAATACAAAAATTAGCCATGCATGGTGGTGCATGCCTGTAGTCACAGCTGCTCAGGAGGCTGAAGCAGGAGAAACACTTCAACCTGGGAGGCAGAGGTTGCAGTGAGCTGAGATCGTGCCACTGCATTCCAGCCTGGGAGACATAGCGAGACTCCATCTGGAAAAAAAAAAAAAAACAGAAGAGCCGGGCATGGTGGCTGACACCTGTAATCCCCGCACTTTGGGAGGCTGAGGCGGGTGGATCACCTGAGGTCAGGAGTTTGAGACCAGCCTGGCCAACATAGTGAAATCCTATCTCTACTTTAAAAGAAATACAGGCCGGGCATGGTGGCTCACGCCTGTAATCTCAGCACTTTGAGAGGCCAAGGCAGGAGGATCACAAGGTCAGAAGATTGAGACCATCCTGGCTAACACGGTGAAACCCCGTCTTTACAAAAAAAATTACAAAAAATCAACTGGGCTTGGTGGCGGGTGCCTGTAGTCCTAGTTACTCGGGAGGCTGAGGCAGGAGAATGGTGTGAACCCAGGAGGAGGAGCTTTCAGTGAGCCCAGATGCGTCACTGCACTCCAGCCTGGGCGATAGAGTGAGACTCCATCTCAAAAAAAAAAAAAAAAAAAATTAGCTGGGCATGGTGGCAGGTGCCTGTAACCCCAGCTACTAGGGAGGCTGAGGCAGGAGAATCGGTTGAATCCAGGAGGCAGAGGTTGCAGTGAGCCGAGATCACGCTTTTGCACTCCAGCCTGGATGGAGTTTTGAAACATGAGCAAAACTCCATCTCAAAAAAAAAAAAGAAAATGCTCAGCACAGTGCTAGGACAATAAATATTTATTAAATGTTAGCTTGCAGTAATTTATCCCGCTGCTAGAATTAGAGCTCAGGAGAGCAGGAACGTTGTCTTTCTGTGACTGCTGCATCCTGTGTCTAGTGCAGTGCCTGGCATACAGGGCAGACTGTAAATATTTGCTCAATTTTCTTCTATTAGCTACTTTCCAGCAGGGTGTCAGGGAAGCTCCTGTTTGGGAATGTTCCCCAGGGGTGAAGGTATCAAGGAGGATGGTGAACTGAACGTGGGAGTTCCTGTAGATCTTAGAATCGTCTGTACTTGAATCTTGACACTATGTGGACACCCGTTGATGGGACTTTCCTTTCTTCCTCTAGTTTAATGGACTCTCTCTCTCTCTCCTCAGCCTCTTTTCCTTTCTACATTCCTGCCCACCTTCTTATCTTTACTTCTTTTTCATGTGTCCATTCTTAGACTTTCATCACATTTGTGATCTAAATTGTTTATTTTTTTCATGCAGGGGTTATGGTTTTGTGAAATTCACAGATGAACTGGAACAGAAGCGAGCCCTGACGGAGTGCCAGGGAGCAGTGGGACTGGGGGCTAAGCCTGTGCGGCTGAGCGTGGCAATCCCTAAAGCGTGAGTCCTGCAGGGAAGGTAGAGAGACTCTAGACTCCCCGCCAGACACTCCTCTTTTGTTTGCTGAGAATCAAGGCATCCATACGCTGGATGGGAGGTTGAGGGGGGATTCAATTCAAGTCACAAGTACTGAATGCCTGCTGTTTGCCGGGCCGTGGGTGCTGGAGTTGAACTAGCCCCACTCCTGCAGAAACTTATAGTTGGGGATAGAGTATGATTTGGAAAGGCTGATGCATTCAGACATACTGGTGACAGCATTGGAAAAGCTGTTTGGCTGTCCATACCTGATGTCCTTGCTCTTTGCCCAGTAATCCCACTGTTGGGAACTTATTCATAGAATTAATAATATTTGAGCAAAGGGAAAAAAATCACTTCCGGTTTTAGCCTTATTTATATTAATGAAACTGCAACCCTCTTGTGAGTGTTCCATGCTGTGGGAATGGATAAGAATTAGTATTCCAGACACTCCGCCAGGCGCAGTGGCTCACGCCTTAACCCCAGCACTTTGGGAGGCTGAGGTGGGCAGATCACCTGAGGTCAGGAGTTCGAGACCAGCCTGGCCAACATGGCAAAACCTCATCTCTACTAAAAATACAAAAATCAGCCGGGCATGGTGGTGCATGCCTGTAGTCCCAACGATTCAGGAGGCTGAGGCAGGAGAATCGCTTGAACCTGGGTGGCGGAGGTTGCAGTGAGCCAAGATGGTGTCAGTACACTCTGGCCTGGGCGACAGAGCAAGACTCCGTCTCAAATAAAAAAGAAAAATATTCCAGACACTCTATAGAACATTATATACTTCACTATTATACCTGTCATGCTAGGTAGAAAATCTTTTTCCCTTACAACTCCGAACTTTTCTCTGAGTAGGATTTTTTGTTTGTTTTTTCCCTGAGACAGGGCCTCAAAGTCACCCAGGCTAGAGATCATGGCTCACTGCAGCCTCTACCTCCCCAGGCTCAGGTGATCCTCCCATCTCAGACTTCTGATTAGCTGGTACTACAGGTGCACACCACCATGCTTGGCAAATTTTTGTATTTTTTGTAGAGATAAGGTCTTGCTTTGTTGCCCAGGCTGGTCTCGAATTCCTGGGCTCAAGTAATCTGCCCACCTTGGTCTCCCAAAGTGCTGGGATTACAGGTGTAAGCCACTGTGCCCAGCCAGATCTTTTATCCTTTAGCCAAATTAATGATTCTCAACTGGAATGATTTTGCCTCCCAGGGGACATTGACAACATCTGGAGACATTTTTAGTTATCACAACCAAGGATGTACTAATAATGGCACCTAGTGGGTATCGGCCAAGGATGCTGTTAAACATCCTGCAATTCATAGGACAGCCTCCCACCCCTCCATGTCAATAGATCCAGGGCTGAGAAATGCTGAACCAAACTCTACCCTAAGAGTAGTTGAATTAGCTGGGTGTGATGGCTCACGCCTGTAACCCCAGCACTTTGGGAGGCCAAGGTGGGTGGATCATGAGGTCCGGAGATCAAGACCATCCTGGCTAACACAGTGAAACCCTATCTCTACTAAAAATAAAAAAAATTAGCTGGGTGTGGTGGCAGGCACCTGTAGTCCCAGCTACTCGGGAGGCTGAGGCAGGAGAATGGCGTGAACCCGGGAGGCGGAGTTGCAGTGAGCCAAGATCACGCCACTGTACTCCAGCCTGGGTGACAGAGCAAGACTGTCTCAAAAACAAAAAAAAGAGAAGTTGAACTATTTTTTTTTTTTTTTTTTTTTAGGTGGAGTCTTGCTCTGTTGCTCAGGCTGGAGTGCAGTGGCATGATCTCCACTCACTTCAGCTTCCACCTCCTGGGCTCAAGCGATTCTCCTGCCTTAACCTCCCGAGTAGCTGGGACTACAGGCGTGTTCCCCCATGCCCAGCTAATTTTTGTATTTTTAGTAGAGACAGGGTTTCACATGTTGTCCAGGCTGGTCTTGACCTTCTGACCTAAGATGATTTGCCTCCCTCGGCCTCTCAAAGTGCTGGGAATATAGGCGTGAGCCACTGTGTGCAGCCAAATGGCCATGTTTTTTAAAGCAATGATTTAGGGGTTCTTTATGGTTTAACTGTGTTTAATACATTGAAGATCAGGCTTAGTGACTTCCCCCAAAAATGTTATTTGTTGTAAATTACTATATAAAAACATTAAATTAGCTGTGCTTGGTGTGCTCCTGTAGTCTCAGCTGCTCTGGTGGCTGAAGTGGGAGAATTGATTGAGCCTAGGAGTTCAAGGTTACAGTGAGCTATGATCACTCCACTGCACTCCAGCCCAGGCAACAGAGTGAGACCCTGTCTCTTAAAAAACAAAATAAAAGGCCAGGTGTGGTGGCTCACGCCTGTAATCCAGCACTTTGGGAGGCTGAGGCGGGCGGATCATGAGGGCAGGAGATTGAGACCATCCTGGCTAATATGGTGAAACCCCATCTCTACTAAAAATACACACAAAAAAATTAGCCGGGCGTGGTGGTGGGCTCCTGTAGTCCCAGCTACTCGGGAGGCTGAGGCAGGAGAATGGCGTGAACCCAGGAGGAGGAGCTTGCAGTGAACCGAGATCACTCCTACTGCACTCTAGCCTGGGTGACAGAGTGACACTCCGTCTCAAAAATAAATAAATAAATAAATACATAATAAAAATAAAAGGAGGAGCGCCGTAGCTCATGCCTGTAATCCCAGCACTTTGGGAGGCTGACTTGGGTGGATCACTTGAGGCCAGGAGTTCAAGACCACCCTGACCAACATGGTGAAATCCCATCTCTACTAAAAGTACAAAAATTAGCTGGGCCTCCCAGGATCAAGCGATTCTCCTGCCTTAGCCTTCCACTTCTGTCCATCATTTCTTTTCTTTTCTTTTTTTTTTTGAAACAGTTTCACTTTTATTGCGCAGACTGGAGTCCAGTGGCGCAGTCTAGGCTCAGTGCAACCTCTGTCTCCCAGGTTCAAGCGATTCTCCTGCCTCAGCCTCACAAGTAGCTGGGATTACAGGCATGCCATCATACCCAGCTAATTTTTTATATTTTTAGTAGAGATAGGGTTTCACCATGTTGTCCAGGCTGGTCTTAAACTCCTGACCTCAGGTGATCCACCTGCCTCCACCTCCCAAAGTGTTGGGATTACAGGCGTGAGCCACCGCGCCCAGCCCTTTTTTTTTTTTAAACAGGATATCCTTTTGCCAGTCCTGACAAAGTTTGGTAAGAGAGACAAACCTATCCATTAAAACCTCCTGTATTACAAGCATGGTCCTTGGAGCCATACTCTCATATTAGCTGTGTGACTTTGGACAAATTACTTAACCTCTCTATTCCTCAGTTTCCTCATCTGTAAAACAGGAATATTGATACACTTATTGCATATGGTTGTTTTTAGGATTAAAAGTGTTAATTGGTGGCCAGGCTCCCAGCAATTTGGGAGGCTGAGGAGGATGGATCACGAGGTCAGGAGATCGAGACCAGCCTGGCTAACATGGTGAAACCCTGTCCCTACTAAAAATACAAAAAATTAGCCAGGCATGGTGGCACACACCTGTAATCCCAGCTACTCAGGAGGCTGAGGCAGGAGAATCGCTTGAACACAGGAAGCAGAGGTTGCAGTGAGCCGAGATCACGTGACTGCACTCCAGTCTGGGCGACAGAGCAAGACTCTATCTCAAAAAAAAAAAAAAAAAAAAAGTTAATCAGTATGAAGCACTTAAAATAGTCTCTGGCCACATGGGCAGTGTTATGGAAATGTTTGCTTACGTTTATTTTTGTTTCTGTCTTCATTTAAGGAGCCGTGTAAAGCCAGTGGAATATAGTCAGATGTACAGTTACAGCTACAACCAGTATTATCAGCAGTACCAGAACTACTATGCTCAGTGGGGCTATGACCAGAACACAGGCAGCTACAGCTACAGTTACCCCCAGTATGGCTATACCCAGAGCACCATGCAGGTAACCATGATTTGACAAGGCTGGTCCCCTTGGGTTGTGTTTCTCCACTAGAAACAGGTGATTCTTTAAGATGGGATTGGTAAGGACAGGACAGGGGCTTGGGCTTCAGAAAAGTAGGGAAAGTTGAAGCAGTCCAGTTCCTCTTGTTAAAATAAGCCATTGTGGGTCGGGCACGGTGACTTACACCTGTAATCCTAGTAGCACTTTGAGAGGCCGAGGCAGGTGGATCACCTGAGGTCAGGAGTTCAAAACCAGCCTGGCCAACATGGTGAAACCCTGTCTCTACCAAAAATACAAAAATTAGCTGAGCATAGTGGCAGGCGCCCATAATCCCAGCTACTCAGGAGGCGGAGGCAGGAGAATCACTTGCCACTGGGATGCAGATGTTGCAGTCAGCCAAGATCACACCACTGCACTCCCGTCTGGGTGACAGAGCTAGACTCCACCTCAAAAAAATTAAAATAAAATAAATAAGCCATTGTGGTCCTGGACCAGGATTTCACCATCCCCCTAACCCACATCTCTGGTCTCTTGGCAGACATATGAAGAAGTTGGAGATGATGCATTGGAAGGTAAGGGTTCATGCGTTCCTTACTCTGTCAGCCATTATCAGGTGACTGCTCTGGCTGGCACTGTGCTCTCAGCTAGAGGGAAGACAAGATAAATTCTGCTCTGGAAGAACTTACATTCTGGTTAGAGAGCCAGATGAATATGTAATTATGGTAAGATGTGTCGAGTGTTACCCAGAGGTGTGAGTGTAGATTCCAGAGAGCCTGGGACAGGCAGCTCCAGGAGAGCCCATCACCCCCTTGACATGTGGCATTCTATCCTGGTAGTATGTGGGCCTCTAACGATAATACTGTTACCTTTTTTTTTTTTTTTTTTTTGAGATGGAGTTTCGCTCTTGTTGCCCAGGCTGGAGTGCAATGGCGCGATCTCAGCCCACCGCAACCTCCGCCTCCCAGGTTCAAGCAATTCTCCTGCCTCAGCCTCCCGAGTAGCTGGGATTACAGGCATGCACCACCACGCCTGGCTAATTTTTTTGTAGTTTTAGTAGAGATGGAGTTTCTCCATGTTGGCTTGGCTGGTCTCAAGCTCTCGACCTTAGGTGATCCGCCCACCTCAGCCTCCCAAAGTGCTGGGATTGCAGGTGTAAGCCATTGCACCTGGCCGATAATACTGTTACCTTTTATTTATTTGACTGTTTGTAAAACTCTTTTTTTCTTTTATTTTTTTATGTTTTTCAGTATATTTTAAATGACATATTTTCCTGATTTTTAAGTCATAGTTAGCATGGAAAATTTGGAAAATATAGTAAAGTATAATGAAATTGAAAATTTCCTCGTATCCTGCAACATAGTAATAGCCATTATTAATTTTTTCTTTCTTTATTTTTTTTTTAAGACAGAGTCTTGCTCTGTCACCCAGGCTGGAGTGCAGTGGTGCGATCTCGGCTCACTGCAACCTCCGCCTCCCGGGTTCAGGTGATTCTCCTGCCTCAGCCTTCCAAGGAGCTGGGATTTCAGCCATATGCCACCATGCCCAGCTAATTTTTGTATTCTTAGTAGAGACAGGGTTTCACCATCTTGGCCAGGCTGGTCTCAAACTCTTGACTTTGTGATCTGCCTGCCTCGGCCTCCCAAAGTCCTGGGATTACAGGCGTGAGCCACCGCCCCCAGCCCATTATTAATTTTTTTTTTTTTTTTTTTTTTGAAGTTGGGGTCTTCGCGTTGTCACCCAGGCTGGAGTGTAGTGGTGCAATCTCGGCTCACTGCAAGCTCCGCCTCCTGGGTTCATGCCATTCTCCTGCCTCAGCCTCCCAAGTAGCTGGGGCTACAGGCGCCCGCCACCACACCCAGATAATTTTTTGTATTTTTAGTAGAGACGGGGTTTCACTGTGTTAGCCAGGATGGTCTCGAACTCCTGACCTCGTGATCCACCCGCTTTGGCCTCCCAAAGTGTTGGGATTACAGGCGTTAGCCACTGTGCCCAGCCCTATTAATTTTTTAATTAAAAATATTTAGGCCCAGGCCGGGTGCAGTGGCTCACACCTGTAATCCCAGCACTTTGGGAGGCCAAGGTGGGCAGATCACAAGGTCAGGAGATTGAGACCATCCTATCTAACCCTAAACGTCTCTACTAAAAATAAAAAAAATTGGCCAGGCGCAGTGGCTCAAGCCTGTAATCCCAGCACTTTGGGAGGCCGAGACGGGCGGATCACGAGGTCAGGAGATCGAGACTATCCTGGCTAACACGGTGAAACCCCGTCTCTACTAAAAAATACAAAAAACTAGCCGGGCGAGGTGGCGGGCGCCTGTAGTCCCAGCTACTCGGGAGGCTGAGGCAGGAGAATGGCGTAAACCCGGGAGGCGGAGCTTGCTGTGAGCTGAGATCCGGCCACTGCACTCCAGCCTGGGCGACAGAGCGAGACTCCGTCTCAAAAAAAAAAAATTTAACCAGGCATGGTGGTGGGTGCCTGTAGTCCCAGCTACTCAGGAGGCTGAGGCAGGAGAATGGCGTGAATCCGGGAGGTGGAGCTTACAGTGAGCTGAGATCGCACCACTGCACTCCAGCCTGGGTGACAGAGTGAGACTCCATCTCAGAAAAAAATTTAGGCCTTTTGCAGTGGCTCACACCTGTAATCCCAGCACTTTGGGAGGTCAAGGAGGGTGGATCATGAGGTCAAGAGATCGAGATCATCCTGGCCAACATGGTGAAACCCCATCTCTACTAAAAATACAAAAATTGCCAGGCATGGTGGCTCACCCCTGTACTCCCAGCACTTTGGGAAGCTGCGGCAGGCGGATCACCTAAGGTCGGGAGTTCTAGACCAGCCTGGCCAACATGGTGAAATTCTGTCCGCAATAAAAGTACAAAAATTACCCAGCCGTGGTGTTGTGCACCTATAATCCCAGCTCCTCGGGAGGCTGAGGCAGGAGAATTGCTTGAACCCGTGAGGTGGAAGTTGCAGTGAGTCGAGATCGTACCACTGTACTCCAGCCTGGGCAACAGAGCAAGACTCCGTCTCAAAAAAAAAAAAATATATATATATATACAAAAATTATCTGGGCGTGGAAGTGCATGCACAACTGTAGTCCCAGCTACTCAGGAGGCTGAGGCAGGGGAATCCCTTGAACCCAGGAGGCGGAGGTTGCAGTGAGGTAAGATGGTGTCACTGCACTCCAGCCTGGTGACAGAGCGAGACTCCGTCTCTACAAAAAAAAAAAATTTATTGGGCCAAGTACCGTGGCTCATGCCTATAATTCCAGCACTTTGGGAAGTTGAAGTGGGCAAATCACCTGAAGTCAGGAGTTTGAGACCACCCTGGCTAACACCGTGAAACCCAGTCTCTATTAAGAATAAAAATTAGCCAGGCATGGCCGGGCAATGTGGCTCACGCCTGTAATCCCACCGTTTTGGGAGGCCAAGGTGGGCGGATCACAAGGTCAGGAGATTGTGACCATCCTGGCTAACACAGTGAAACCCCATCTCTACTAAAAATACAAAAAATTAGCCTGGCATGATGGCGGGTGGCTATAGTCCCAGCTACTCAGGAGGCTGAGGCAGGAGAATGGCATGAACCTGGGAGGCTGAGCTTGCATTGAGCAGAGATCGCGCCACTGCACTCCAGCCTGGGCAACAAAGTGAGACTCCATCTGAAAAAAAAAAAAAAAAAATTAGCCAGGCATGGTGGCTTATGCCTGTAATTCCAGCTCCTTGGGAGGATGAGGCAGGAGACTCGCTTGAACCCGGGAGGTGGGGGTCTCGGTGAGCCACGAATGCTCCATTGCACTCCAGCCTGGATGACAAGAGTGAAACTCTATCTCAAAAAAAAAAAAAAAAAAAATTGTTTACTGGCTAGGCACAGTGGCTAAAGCCTGTAAGGTCTTTGGAATGCCAAAGTGGGTTGGAGGATGGCTTGAGCCTAGAACTTGGAGACAAGCCTGGGCAACGTAGCGAGACCCCGTCTCTTTTTTGGGGGGAGACAGAGTCTTGCTCTGTCACCCAGGTTGGAGTACAGTGGCACAGTCTCCAATCTCAGCTCACTGCAACCTCCACCTCCCAGGTTGAAGTGATTCTCCTGCCTCAGTCTCCTGAGTAGCTGGGATTACAGGCATGCACCACCACGCCTGTCTAATTTTTGTATTTTTAGTAGAGATGGGGTTTCAACATGTTGGCCAGGCTGGTCTTGAACTCCTGACCTCAGGTGATCCTCTTGCCTCACAAATTGCTTTGATTACAGGCATGAGCCACCTGCCCAGCCAAGTATTTATAATTTTTACTGAGTTTCACAGAAGAAAAAGGAAAGTAAAACTGAAAGCCAAGCATAGTGGCACACGCCTGTGGTTCCAGCTACTTGGGGGAGGCTGAGGCAGGAGGATTGCTTGAGCCCAGGAGGTTGAGGCTTCAGTGAGCTGTGACTACAGTTGTGCCCCACCATGCCTGGCTATTTTTTTCTATTTTTTTGTAGAGGCAGGGTTTCACCATGTTGCCCAGGCTGGTCTTGAACTCCTGGTTTCAAGTGATCTGCCCGCCTCGGCCTTCCAAAGTGCTGGGATTATAGGCATGGGCCACTGCGCCTGGCCAAAACTTTTTTTGAGGTACAAAAAGACTCAAAGTTTGAAATCTATTTTGAGGGTTATTCTTCAAGAGAAAGTCATAGGGAAAATGTTTTCTGTCAAGAAAATGTTCGTTAAAGGAAACAGGTCCCTTTTAGGGCATGAACAAGCTTGTCTAGTTCTAAAGCACTTTCTTGTGTCCTCTCATGTGATGCCAACTGTAGTGACCTTGTGGGGTGGGCTGGGAAGGACGTAGGAGCTCCACTTCACAGATGGGGAACTAGTGGCCCAGAAAGCCCAAGTGATCTGCTGAGGGACAGTCTGGTCTTTTTATACTCAAGTCTCTAGTTGTTTCCCCCTGGGAGACACTGCCTTCTTTCTAGAGATAAGTAGCCTCGGAGGCCGAGACGGGTGGATCACGAGGTCAGGAGATCGAGACCATCCTGGCTAACACGGTGAAACCCCGTCTCTACTAAGAAATACAAAAAACTAGCCGGGCGAGGTGGCGGGCGCCTGTAGTCCCAGCTACTCGGGAGGCTGAGGCCGGAGAATGGCGTGAACCCGGGAGGCGGAGCTTGCAGTGAGCTGAGATCTGGCCACTGCACTCCAGCCTGGGCTACAGAGCGAGACTCCGTCTCAAAAAATAAATAAATAAATAAAAAAGAGATAAGTAGCCTCATTATAATATCTATATATAAGTCCTTAGAATTTTCCAATCTCTTTTTCATCCTTTTTTTTTCTTTTTCTTGAGATGGAGTCTCACTGTGTCACCAGGCTGGAGAGTAGTGGCACAATCTCGACCCACTGCAACCTCCACCTCGCAGGTTCAGGTGATTCCCCTGCCTCATCCTCCTGAATTGCTGGGACTACAGGTGCCCGCCACCACGCCCAGCTAATTTTTGTATTTTTAGTAGAGACGGGGTTTCACCATGTTGGCCAGGATAGTCTCGATCTTTTGACCTTGTGATCCACCCACCTCTGCCTCCCAGTGCTGGGATTACAGATGCGAACCATCGTGCCAGACCCTTTTTTTTTTTTTTTTTTTTTTGAGACAGAGTTTTGTCCTTATTGCCCAGGCTGGAGTGCAATGGCACAATCTCAGCTCGCTGCAATCTCCGCCTCCTGGGTTCAAGCAATTCTCCTGCCTCAACCTCCCAAGTAGCTGGGATTATAGGCATGTGCCACCATGCCCAGCTAATTTTGTATTTTTAATAGAGACGGAGTTTCACCATGTTGGTCAGGCTGGTCTTAAACTCCTGACCTCAAGCAATCCACCCGCCTCGGCCTCCCAAAGTGCTGGGATTACAGGCGTGAGCCACCATGCCTGGCCTATATAGCCAATGTATTTTATGCCATGCACTGCTGTCTCTCAGCTATCAGGATGGATACATGCCATTCCATTTCTCATTAGACAGAAAATAATACTGAGGCAAAAACAGTTATCAGTAATAGTAGCTAATAGATATTGAGGCTTTATGTGCAAGTCACTGTTCTAAGTACTTTACATATATTAAGTCATTTAATCTTCAGAACAATCTAGAAGTAAATACCACAGTTATCCTGGTCTTGTAGACTAGAAAGCTGACATAAAGAAGTTAGTTCTGGGGCTCAAGAGATCCTCCCGCCTCAGATTCCCAAAGCTACGTTGATCTTGAGCCCCAGAGTTCGAGACCAGCCTGGGCAACACAGTGAGACCCCATCTCTACAAAAAGTACAAAAAATTACCTGGCATGGTAGCACACAACTGTAGTCCCAGCTATTCAGGAGGCTGAGGTGGCAGGATCCCTTGAGCCCCAGGAGTTGAGAGGTTGAGACTGCAGTGAGCAGTGTTTATAAGGCTGCACATGCCTGGGCGACAGAGCAACCCTGCATCCCCCCAAAAATACAAAAACAAAAAGCTCAACATAGTTGCAAAGTGCAACATAGCAGCAGGAGGTGGAGGGGCGCTTAGAATCCCTGCAGTACACTCTCTCCCTGGACTTTATGCTCTACCACTGCATTATTAAAGACTCCCATTGAACTTAATAACTGCCCAGTCAGGAGGGCACAGACTGGATTGTTACCCTTCTTCATCTACCCCTTGGCTTCAATAGGCTGTCTTCCAGGCTCTGTCTTCAGAGTGAGGCAGAATGCTTTATTGTTTGTGTACCCATCGACTTGAGCCACACACAAATGCCTGCCCTTGACTAACCCCTTCACTGATCTGTTCCCGTAAGCTGTTACCTGCACTGAGTGTAGTCACCAGGCAGGACATGGTCTGCCTTTTTACAGTTGCTATCTGGAGACTCTATAAATGCTTGGAGCTTAAATCTTACGATTTTTTTTTTTGAGACGGAGTCTCACTCTTATTGCCCAGGCTGGAGTGCAATGACGCGATCTCAGCTCACTGCAACCGCCACCTCCTGGGTTCAAGCGATTCTTCTGCCTCAGCCTCCCAAGTAGCTGGGATTACAGGCATGCGCCACCATGCCCAGCTAATTTTCTATTTCTGTTTTTCTAACCCCATAAAGATGAGGTTTCTGTGTTGGTCAGGCTGGTCTTGAATTTCCGACCTCAGGTGGTCCGCCCACCTTGGCCTCCCAAAGTGCTGGGATTACAGGCATGAGCCACCGTACCTGACTTTTTTTTTTTTTTTTTTGAGATGGAGTCTTTGCTCTGTCGCCAGGCTGGAGTGCAGTGGCGCCATCTCTGTTCACTGCAACCTCTGCCTCCCGTGTTCAAGTGATTCTCCTGCCTCAGCCTCCCGAGTAGCTGGGACTACAGGCATGCACCACCATACCTGGCTAATTTTTTGTATTTGAGTAGAGATGGGGTTTCACCATGTTGGTCAGGATGGTCTTGATCTCCTGACCTTGTGATCCGCCTGCCTCAGCCTCCCAAAGTGCTGGGATTACAGGCATGAGCCACAGTGCCCAGCTTAACCTCCTAGGTTTAAGTGATCCTCCTGCCTCAGCCTCCCTAGTAGCTGGCACTAGAGACATAGGTCACCATGCCCAGCTAATTTTTTTTTTTTTGAGATGGAGTATTTTTTTGTTTTTGAGACAGCATCTTGCTCTGTCTCCTAGGCTGGAGTGCAATGGCATGATCTCAGCTCACTGCAACCTCTGCCTCTTGGGTTCAAGCGATTCTCCTGCCTCAGCCTCCCGAGTAGCTGGGACTACAGGTGCCTGCCACCACGTCCAGCTAATTTTTATATTTTTAATAGACACGGGGTTTCACTATGTTGGCCAGGATGGCCTTGATCTCTTGACCTTGTGATCCGCCTGCCTCGGCCTCCCAAAGTGCTGGGATTACAGGCGTGAGCCACTGTGCCCGGCTGAGATGATGATGCTCTGGACTTAATAACTTTGATTAGACCTTCTAAACCCAAATTTGAAGTGAGGAGCAGACCTCTAGAATATCTAGGATACATGATGGCTAGAGACACACGTGTAGCTTTTAATAGATGTAGGCTAACAGCTGCCATTTTTCCATCCTCTAAATACGTAATCCTATTTTCATTTTCCCCAGAACCCTGCAAGGCAGTGGTTTCACTTCCTAAAAGAAACTGGCAGGATAGGGACCTTACCATAGATCAGAGTTCTGGGAGAAGGGAACTGAACTGGATCCCTTGCAGCTGTCCCTAGACTTCCCTGACCCGATCCTTGCTTTCTTTCCAGACCCCATGCCACAGCTGGATGTGACTGAGGCCAACAAAGAATTCATGGAACAGAGTGAGGAGCTGTATGATGCTCTGATGGACTGTCACTGGCAGCCCCTGGACACAGTGTCTTCAGAGATCCCTGCCATGATGTAGCCAGGCCAAAGGACAAGCCAGGCTGCACTATGTGAGGGAGATTAGAGACTCCTTTTAAAAAAAAAAAGAAATGTGAAACCTTTTTGGAAATATGATTTTTAAGATTTTAATGACTGTTTCTGGAGATCATGAGTATTTCTACAACACTGCTGCATTCATTTGACCGTTTGAGTTTGAAGACCACGGGAACAACTTTTAAACAAGGTTCTAATTGCTTTCCTTCACAGGAATCCTTTGTCCAGGCAGTTATCCACTCCTGGACACAGGACAGTTTGGGGTTACCCAAAACTGGGATGAGCAGTTTGCAATGATCCACACACTAAAGCCTGGGTTACCGGTTTCTCAGTTATATAAATGAAGTTTCTCAGGTATGTAAATCAAGGCTCTCTGGAGTATTTATAGTATCTGCTGTTCTAACTTTAGAGTCTGGCAGCTAGGTAGGGCACTGTAGCAGGGGCGGAGCACACCCCTAGGAGGTAGGATGTGGTGGGGTGATAGAGCAGGCCAGTTGGCCTAAGAATGCTCACAAGAATGGGTTTCATCTTTTTTTGTATATTCAGTATCTGCATATACAAGGCCTGGCTGGATCACTTTAGGATCAATATGGGAGATAAGCCGCTCAGAAAGTTAAAATATGGGAGAAGGCAGCTCCTCCATGTGAACTTTGGAGAATGGGGAAGCACCCATACTTGCTGGCCCCTCTGGGGCTTATGATAAAAGCTGTATCTGATTCTAGTTTTGTGCTAGAGCAATTTTGGGGGCTTACTGCTTGAGGCAAAGCATTCATCATAGATCACAAAAAAAATCTCCAAAGGGCTGGGCATGGTGGCTCACTTTGGGAGGTGAATTGCTTCAGCTCAGGAAGAGACCAGATTTGTAGAGACCAAAAAAATACAAACACAAATATACTTTTATCAGTCTTTATTAATCTTCAATTGATCTACACCTAGAGCATGCTGCTGTTTCTACCTAAAATGACGGGGGTCTTGCCTTTTGCTTCCCATAGAGATTCTCCTGCAAAGGAAGTATAAGCCATTGTGTTAGAAATTCCCAGATTTCCCCCACACCCAGGCATTTTCCTCGGAGCTGGTCTCAGTCCCATATCCGCATTTCTCATCCATGGATGTCCACTCAGATTAGGTTTCATCCTGGACCAGTCATTCTAAATAGTGTGTGCTACATGGAACCCCTTGAAGTCCTACCAAAGAATGCATCATGAGCTCCAGCCACCACTGAACATTTGCGGCTACCAGGCCTTGTGGCCCACGGTGCTCTCTGCTGCCTTCAACTTCCAGCAATATGTGGTCTTGCAGGGTGGGCAAATCATGTTCTAAGCACCTTTGCCCTCTGGTAATGAACAGCTAACAAACAGGGCACACGAGGAAGGCCAAATGTAAATGTTACTGAAATGCCTGTAATCCCAGCACTTTGGTAGGCCAAGGCAGGCAGATCACTTGGGGTCAGGAGTTCAAGACTGCCCTGGGCAACATGGCAAAACCCTGTCTCTACTTAAAATACAAAAGTTAGCCAGGCATAGTGGTGCATGCTTATAGTCCCAGCTACTCAGGAGGCTGAGGCAGAAGAATCACTTGAACCTGGGAGACGGAGTTTGCAATGAGCCAAGATCGTGCCACTGCACTCCAGCCTGGGTGACAGAAAGACCCCGTCTTAAAAAAAAAAAAACAAAAACAAAACAAAACAAAAAAACAAAAAAAACTTGGACACAGACCTAAGTAACCTTATAGTTCTATTAGGCTGACTACTTAGGACAGGATCCCCGACAACTGAGCACTACCTGCAGCTACAGCTGACAGAGCTTCGGGTGGCCACTAACTTACCCAACTCCATAGGTCCATAGTCACACGAGGACAGCTTTGCATGTAACGTGAATCTAAAAGAAAACAACACCTTAATTAAGAGGCAAGAAAGCTATGACAGATCCCTCCCAAATGCTATTACTATACCAACCTCCAGAGCTTCATACACATCCTTCCCTTAGCCTATATTTCATTTTACAATTTCAGAGATCCAGCCATCTCTGAACCTGTCCGAAACTAGCCCACATGCCATATACCAGATTACAACATTCAGGCCAGCTTCACTATTACTTTTCCTCCTTTTACGACCACCAAGACCGGTGTTCAGATCCGATGGGAAAGGGAAGAGGAGGATTAAGCTGTGTTCCACATCAACTTTACCTTAAAGCACAGCTCCAGAAACAAGCTCACCTCCTCAGGATCACACATGGCCAGGAAACTTGGGGGCAACCTGCAGAACAAAAAGCTTAGTGTGAAAGCTAAACTGGCCAAGAGTGGTGGTTCATGCCTGTAGTCCCAGCACTTTGGGAGGGGAGGCCAAGGGGGCGAATCACCTGAGGTCAGGAGTTCAAGACCAATCTAGCCAACATGGTGAAACCCATCTATACTAAAAATACAAGAAAATTAGCTGGGTGTGATGGCGGGCACCTGTAATCCCAGATGCTCGGAAGGCTGAGGCAGGAGAATTGCTTGAACCCGGGAGGTGGAGGTTGCCTGAGCCAAGATCGTGCCACTGCACTCCAGCCTGGGTGACAGCGCAAGACTCCGCCTCAAAAAAAAAACACCCATCTACATTGGAAGTTGACACGTGGAAGGCTTCCAGCCCTGGTCCTGAAACATTATAGGAAAGCTGAGTGGCAGCTTGCAGGTATTGTACTGACCTGCGCTGTCAAAGTCTTTCCAGGTTGCTCTTGCATGCAGTTGGAGATCCCATGGCTACCACCAGCCACAGCCCTTGGAAACATGCTGTTCTGTCCCACCAGGGAGCCCCCAGTCAGTCTCCAAAAGAAACCTACCAGGTCCCCTGCATTTCATCACTGATGTGACCCCGGGAGTCCTCGATCACCAGACAGATCACCTTCTGTCATCTGAGAGTCTTCATCTGGACAGCAAAATGAGAACAACTGTCAAGAACAATTTTATTGGTCCCATCATTTGGTCCTCAGAAGGATACAAATCTAACCAGCCTTTGGTCCGAATACTGATGCTATCAGTTAAGCTGTGTCACATCCCAGCTGGATTTTCCCAGTACGGGAATCTTACGCTGGTTAACTGTACATGCAAACCCCCAACCGTTCTGCTGGTCGGTGGAAACAGGGGCTACAGCTGAAAGACAGCAAGTATGATGGAACTGTATTTTCCCAAAATGTTGCAGATCAGTTACAACAAACAGAACGGCGACCGTCAAGGAAAACTGTCACTCTGGGCTCCTTTTTGACCACAGCAGCTATGCGGAAGCAGCTGCAGCTTCGATAAGGGCCAAGGGGCAATTCAGATCCCAAGGCAGCCAACTAAAGCCTCACCTGTCCATCATTACTACCTGCTGAAGTGCGCCGGAATCTCTGTTGACTAAATCAGTCATCCTGTAGGCCCCACTGCCCACGCTGTGCCAATATTTGGTGTGCTTTTTCTCAATCTTGATGGGATCTTTTTATCCGCCTATTACAGATAAGAGGTTTAGACCGATTAAGTGACTTGCTGAAGGTCGCTTAGTCACTTAGCGAGGCTGAAAGCAACAAGCTGGGATGCACACAAGGGTCTGAATGCCTAAAACCCGTCCTTCTGAAAAGCGTGTCCACGAGGGCGACCTCCAGAGCCCTCGCGAGCAGTCACTAGTCCCAAAATCACCTAGCTGGTAACTGTCATAGATTCAACTGGAGGCCATCCTGACACCAGCATGCGGCCTCCCCCAAATTAAAACACTTCAGGCCCAGGGCTTCATCCCCGCATCCCCCAGGAGACCGGTCCCAAAACCCCTTCCGTAAACCCAGGCGCCTGCCGGCAACACTCACCTGTCAGCCCAGAGCGCAGAGTTGCGCAGGCCGAAGCGAGAGAAGGGCGCGGCCCCAGCGGGATCCGACCCCTCTCAAGACCGAGGGTCCCTTCTGGAGCTCGGGCCCACTGGGAAGGAAGGTCCGACTCCTCCGTGCCACGTTCACCACCATATCGAGGCCTTGGGAGAAAGCCCCGGCGAGTGCGGGCCCGTAGCAGCAACTAGCAGGCTATGGCTTGCAGGGAGGTGAGAAGAGCCTTAAACATGGCGAGTCCGCACCAAGGCTGCGGCGGGGTAAAAGGACGCTGCAACTGCGTACAAGAGCTTATATAGGCTGCCCCTCGCGGCCACGCCCGACAGTCGGCCGCGCGCGTGGCGCACAGCTGCCTGGGAATTGTAGTTTGCTCGCCTCTGCGTTGTCCGCGCGTCACCTCCCCAGCCCTACGCGCGTTTCCATCCCCAGCCCGCGAAGCGCGAACCGCTGGAGGCTTTCCTCCGAGCAGGAAGAAGCGCCTTCACCTTTCAGTGCTCGGCACTGGGCCCACGCAGGAAGCCGACCCGCCTTGGCCTCTGGAGTTGTCTCCGGGATATCTTTCAAAGTCTGGAAATGAACCCCGTGTGCTGGGAAAGGGCTCGGGCTCTGCTCAGAGTTCTGTGGGAGTGCGAGCGAGCAGCGCCTGAGTGGGTTTCGGGGAGGGGGTCATACTCCCCAAAAGGCAATTTCTATATTCAAGGCTTGTCTCTTTCACTAATATATAATTTTACTGAGCGCGTGCTATTTAAACTGTGCCTGATTATCTGATCTAGTTTTCATAAAAACCCTGTGTATGCTCTGACAAATAAGGAAATTTGGCCAGGCTCAGTGGCTCATGCCTGTAATCCCAGCACTTTGGGAGGCCGAGGTGGGCGGATCACAAGGTCAGGAGTTTGAGACCAGCCTGGCCAACATTGTGAAATCCCGTCTCTACTAAAAATACAAAAATTAGCCGGGCGTGATCGTGCGCGCCTGTAATACCAGCTACTCAGGAGGCTGAGGCAGGAGAATCGCTTGAACTTGGGAGGTGGAGGTTGCAGTGAGCCGAGATCATGCCACTGCACTCCAGCCTGGGTGACAGAGCGAGACTCTGTCTCAAAAATATAAATAAATAAATACATAAAAATAAGGAAACTTAGGAATGGATCACACAGCTATTGCAAGGACTATAAGCGAGGAGAGGACTGGAATTTGGAGCCCACCCCAGGCACCACACATAGCGCAATGTTTTGTGCATGGAATGAATAAGCCTCAGTATGAAAACTTAGTGGTGATTGCCGAGAATTAAACACCCATCCTGTGCCTAATCTATTAATTTTTATTTTATTTTATTTTTTTTTGAGACAGAGTCTTGCTCTGTTGCCCAGGCTGGAGTGCAGTGGCCCGATCTCGGCTCACTGCAAGCTCCGTCTCCTGGGTTCACACCATTCTCCTGCCTCAGCCTCCGAGTAGCTGGGACTACAGGCGCCCGCCACTACGCCCGGCTAGTTTTTTTGTATTTTTAGTAGAAACGGGGTTTCACCGTGTTAGCCAGGATGGTCTCGATCTCCTGACCTCGTGATCCGCCCGTCTCGGCCTCCCAAAGTGCTGGGATTACAGGAGTGAGTCACCGCGCTCCGCTTAATTTTTATTCTTACATACACTTTTTTCTTTGAGACAGGGTCTTGTTCTGTTGCCCAGGCTGGAGTGCAGTGGCCTGATCAAGGCTCATTGCAGCCTCGACCAACTGGGCTCAAGCAATTCTCCCACCCCAGCCTCCCAGGTAGATGGGACTACAGGTGCAGGCCAACTTTCCTTGCTTACACTTTAAAAAGTAGGTACTACTTTAGCAGGTCATTGAGGGGCATGCCCTGTGGTCCTGGACTCCTCTCTTTCTCTAACATCAGGTGTCCAAGCCATCAGCAACTCCTGTGTGCTCTACCTTTAAAATGTATCAATAATCTGTTTTTTACCCCTTCCACTGATATTACCCTAATCCTTGACCCAGATGATAGCAATAGTCTCCTATCTCCCAGATCCTGCTGTTGCTCCCGACAGTCTGGTCTCCACTTGTCAGCCAGCCTGCTAAAAGTTTTTAACTTTTACGAAGTCTAATATGCCAGTTTTTTCTTTTGTAGTTTATGCTCTAAAAGCTTAATAATTAGGCCAGGTGTGGTGGCTCACACCTGTGATTCCAGCACTTTGGGAGGCCAAGGGGGGGTGGATGACCTGAGGTCAGGAGTTCAAGTCCAGCCTAGCCAACATGATGAAAACCCGTCTCTACTAAAAATACAAAAAATAGCTGGTCATGGTGGCGGACGCCTGTAATCCCAGCTACTTGGGAGGCTGGGGCAGGAGAATCATTTGAACCCAGGAAGCGGAGGTTCGAAGTGAGCCAAGATGGAGCCATTACACTCCAGCCTGGGCGACAAGAGCAAGACACCGTCTCAAAAGAAAAAAAAAAATTGGCCGGGCTTGGTGTCTCAAGCCTGTAATCCCAGCACTTTGGGAGGCCGAGACGGGCGGATCACGAGGTCAGGAGATCGAGACCATCCTGGCTAACACGGTGAAACCCCGTCTCTACTAAAAAATACAAAAAAACTAGCCGGGCGAGGTGGCGGGCGCCTGTAGTCCCAGCTACTTGGGAGGCTGAGGCAGAAGAATGGCATAAACCCGGGAGGCGGAGCTTGCAGTGAGCTGAGATCCGGCCACTGCACTCCAGCCTGGGCGACAGAGCCAGACTCTGTCTCAAAAAAAAAAAAATTAAAATTAAAATTATTAAACTTTTTTTTTTTTTTTGAGATGAAGTCTTGCTTTGTTGCCCAGGCTTGTGCAGTTTATTATGTGTCAATTATTCCTCAATAAAGCTGTCAAAAAACCAGAAGACCACAGGCGCGTGCCATCACGCCCAGCTAATTTTTATATTTTTAGTAGACACGGGATTTCACCATGTTGGCCAGGATGGTTGTGACCTCCTGATCCACCCACCTCAGCCTCCCAAAGCGCTGGGATTACAGGCCTGAGCCACGGTGCCCGGCCCATCCCAGATCTGTTCTAATGCAAATGCAGATAACCTTAACTGCTGTGTCACGCGGCTCCTACAGAACTACCCTGAGGTAGGTTCCATGATTTGCCTGATTTAGCAGAAGAGGAAGCAGGGATTAGGGAAGGGAAATAACTTACCCCAGGTTATACAGTGAATCTGTGACAGAGGTCAGCTGACATCTGGATTTAACTGCAGTCAGAGGCAGACACATGATCCCAGCCCACAGTAGGAGCAGGGAGAGGGAGGAAGTTCAAGAAGCCAGATGCTGACAGTGCATTGCCCACGTGGGCTGACCGGAAAGTCCTCAGGGAGAGCTGGGGTCAGACTGCATTTCCAGCTGCTTCATGCCTCTCTAGAGTCTCCTTTCTCCTTGACCTTCCCACATCCCGCTTATCCTTGGAGACCCAACTTCAACATCAGCTGGGATGGGCTTCTCTGACCCTTTGGCTTCCTAAGTCCAGTTCCATCATGCTGTTTGACTGAATGAATGGATGGGTGAATGAACAGCACTTATCCACTTTCATTAATTCATCTAGCTATAAATATTTACTGAGCTTATTATTATTATTATTTTTTGAGACAGAGTCTCGCTCTGTCACCCAGGCTAGAGTGCAGTGATGCGATCTTGGCTCACTGCAAGCTCCACCTCCCGGGTTCAAGCGATTCTCCTGCCTCAGCCTCCCAAGTAGATGGGATTATAGGCACGTGCCACCATGCCCGGCTAATTTTTGTATTTTTAGTAAAAACAGAGTTTCATCATGTTGGCCAGACTGGTCTTGAACCCCTGACATGAAGTGATCCACCCGCCTTAGCCTCCAAAAGTGCTGGGATTACAGATGTGAGCCACTGCGCCTTGAGTTTCTACTTTAAGCCAAGCGCTGAGTTAGGCCCTGAGGATATAATCACCCCTGCCCTCAAGGAGCCTGCAGCCTAGGAGAGAGACTGACATTAGAGGTGGTCAGAAATACATGTGGGCCGGACATGGTGGTTCACACATATAATCCCAGCGCTTTGGGAGATGGAGGCGGGCAGATCACTTGAGGTCAGGAGTTCAAGACCACCTTGGCTAACATGGTGAAACCCTGTCTCTACTAAAAATACAAAAATTAGCTGGGCGTTGTGCCTGTAATCCCAGCTACTTGGGAGGCTGAGTTGGGAGGATAGCTTGGACCCAGGAGGTAGAGGTTGCAGTGAGCCGAGATCCTGCCACTGCACTCTAGCCTGGGCAACAGAGTGAGACTCCATCTGAAAATAAATAAATAGATAAATAAATAAATAAATAAATAAATAAAAGACTAGAGAGACTAGAGTTGTCTGGAGCAACTGGACCTCCAGCCTCAGTGCCCTGGGTTTCCAGAATGCCAGCCTGGAAAGGGTGGAGTAAACTTTGGAGGCTCGTGTGCTGCCTCACCCTAGCCCCTCACCCAAACAAAACTCAACCAGCGTCTTAGTGCTCGTGGGACCTGCTTTGTCCCCTTTTGTGGTATCAAATGGATGATGAAGGATGAGACAAACCTGGATGTGAGTCCCAACTCTGCTGTGTGACCTGGGACAAGCCGTGCCTCTGAGCCTCAGTCTTCTCAGCGCTAAGAGGGGCACTCCCATGGCCCTATCAAAGGGTTGCTGTCCACAAAACATGAACTGACCTTTGGCCTCATACATATTAGCTGTCAAATCCACAGGCCAACTGCACTCCCTTCAGAATTGCAGTTGTCTGTGTCTGTCCTGCCTCCTCAACCAGACTGTGCCCAAGTTCCTTCTGGGGCCCTGGTGTCCAACTCAGACAGGCACTGGAGGAAGCCGTGGGTGCTGTTGAATGTTGAACCTGAACATTGAACTAGAGGCCCCAGGCCAGGGCTAACGAGGGCTCCAGGAAAGGGCTTCTGGGTGGAGAGGGAGCACCTACAAACCACTCACTTCCCGAGTGGCCTTCCCGGGTCCAGCAGAGGGGTGGGGGCCAACTAGGGAACCCACGGCCGGCGGGGTGGAGCGGGTAAGGGGGTGGGGCTGGAGATGAAGGAATGAGTGAGGCCCCTCCTCACTTCATCTAGTTTAGTCCCTTTAGTCTGTGAAGTACGGGTCATTAGCCCCCTTTTACAGAAGAGAGAACTGAGGCTTCGAGAGAGAGAAACTTGGTCAGGAGTTTCCTCTCGGTCCCACCACCTCGATGCCCCGCCGGGGGCGGTGGTTGGGCGCCGGGAGCAGGGGGCGGTGCGCGGGAGGGGCGGGGGCGGGGGCGGGGGCGGGGCGCGGACAAAACGGCCGCGGGCGGCGGGGCGGCGGGGTGGCGGACGCGGCCATGGAGGGCGAGGGCTGCCGCTACCAATTTAGGGTTGCGCTGCTGGGGGACGCGGCGGTGGGCAAGACGTCGCTGCTGAGGAGTTACGTGGCGGGCGCGCCTGGCGCCCCGGAGCCCGAGCCCGAGCCTGAGCCCACTGTGGGCGCCGAGTGCTACCGCCGCGCGCTGCAGCTGCGGGCCGGGCCGCGGGTCAAGCTGCAGCTCTGGGACACCGCGGGCCACGAGCGCTTCAGGTGCGGGTAGCCAGGGCGCGGGAGGGACTCCTGGTGGGGGGCTTGGTGCCAGTGCGCTCGGCCACGGCAACCCCCGTAGAGGCCAACTTAGAGGTCAAGCGGAGGGCGAGGTCCCTGCCCTGGGTCCCGTCTGGTCCGCTGGGTCCAGACCCTCCCCTGCTCGGAGTCATTTTCCCCACGAACACTGCGGGGTGGGCCGAGTCCCAGAGCCCAGGAACATCCCTGGTTTTGAGCTCTGGACTCTGGAGAGATGAGTGATACTGGCCCCGGGTGCTGAGAGCTCAGAACAGAGCGGGAAGTGTCGAGGAGATGTGGAAGGGAGAGAAGTTTGTGTTGACCTTGAAGGATCGGCAGGAGTTTGCCAGAAAGAGAACGGAGAAACGAAAACCTAGGTCAGGGCAGCACCAGGCCTCCTCCAGGAATGAGGGATTCGAGTTACGCTTGCACCCTAACTGGGAAGCACCCGGACTTTTATTTATTTATTTTTTTGAGACGGAGTCTCGCTCTGTCGCCCAGGATGGAGTGCAGTGGCGCGATCTCGGCTCACTGCAAGCTCCGCCTCTCGGGTTCACGCCATTCTCCTGCCTCAGCCTCCCGAGTAGCTAGAACTACAGGTGCCCGCCACCACGCCCGGCGAATTTTTTTGTAGTTTTACTAGAGACAGGGTTTCACCGTGTTAGCCAGGATGGTCTCGATTTCCTGACCTCATGATCCACCCACCTCCGCCTCCCAAAGTGCTGGAATTACTGGCATGAGCCACCGTGCACGGCCAACTCCCAGACTGTTAGGGGAGACACAGACACCGAGGCAGAGAACCACAGGGCCGCGTGAAGTGAGCCCTGCTGGGGTGTGAGGCATTCTGTGGATCCCAGGGGGAGGAGGTCCTGCCTTTGGGGGTGTCATGAAGGCATCAGTCTCTCCCAGCTTACCTCTCTGCCTCCCCAGGTGCATCACCAGGTCCTTTTACCGGAACGTGGTGGGTGTCCTGCTGGTCTTTGATGTGACAAACAGGAAGTCCTTTGAACACATCCAAGACTGGCACCAGGAGGTCATGGCCACTCAGGGCCCAGACAAGGTCATCTTCCTGCTGATTGGCCACAAAAGTGACCTGCAGAGCACCCGTTGTGTCTCAGCCCAGGAGGCCGAGGAGCTGGCTGCCTCCCTGGGCATGGCCTTCGTGGAGACCTCGGTTAAAAACAACTGCAATGTGGACCTGGCCTTTGACATTCTTGCTGATGCTATCCAGCAGGCCCTGCAGCAGGGGGACATCAAGCTAGAAGAGGGCTGCGGGGGTGTCCGGCTCATCCACAAGACCCAAATCCCCAGGTCCCCCAGCAGGAAGCAGCACCCAGGCCCATGCCAGTGTTAACTCTAGGAAAGAAAGGGTTAAAGCAGTCCCAGACTCAACTCACCTGGTGGGATGGGGAGTGTTAGTATCTCTCTGGAGGACAAATGACAGAAGGATTCATATAAACGGTATCCTGACACAGTCATGCTTCCTGGATTTTGGAGTCAAGGCTTTCTACAGAAAAGAAGGGTCTGATGGCCGGGCGCGGTGGCTCACGCCTGTAATCTTAGCATTTTCGGAGGCCAAGGATGGCGGATCACCTGAGGTCAGGAGTTCAAGACCAGCCTGGCCAATATGGTGAAACCCCATCTCTATTAAAAATACAAAAATTAGCCAGGCGTGGTGGCACATGCCTGTAATCCCAGCTACTCAGGAGGCTAAGGCAGGAGAATTGCTTGAACCCAGGAGGCAGAGATTGCAGTGAGCCAAGACTGTGCCACCGCACTCCAGCCTGGGTGACAGAGTGAGACTCTGTTTCAAAAAAAAAAGAGAGAGAGACAGGAAAAGAAAGGCCTGAGAGACCAGATGTGCAACTTCCTATCCTTGAACCTCAGTGTCCTTATCTGTCGATGGGGCTCATAAAAGATCCCACCTTGCAAGGAGGTGGTGACCATGAATGAGATAGTGGACAGGATGTGCTCACCCAGAGCCTGCCATGCTATGAATTGAATGACAAAAGCTCTCATTCCCACTCCCTTCTTTCTTGGCTGTGATGTGGCCACTCTGGCAGCATTCCTGGGCTCAGACACTGAGAAGCCAGCATCAGGAAGCTGCTGTATGGGCTAAGGCAGGTGTGGGGAATTCCAGGGGGAGCTTGGCTTGGAGGCTCCTTGTGTCCTCAGGCTAAAATGATTCTGGGCATGGGATTAATATGTGACATCAAATCCAGGGTTGCCAGCCAATGCCCCCACCCTAGGCCCAGGGGCTGAAAATGGATGTTGGAGGCTAGGATGAACATGAATGTGTAGCAACTATGTTGGGCACACAGTGGCCACTGTGATGAGCCACCAAGATCCCCCTTCCTGGCTGGGGAACCCATCAACCCTCTCCCCAGTGCTGGAGTGCCACTGGATGATGGACTTCAGCTTGCCCCACTCTCTGGGAAAGGCCCTCCCTTCAGGGCAGCCCATATCCAATGTTCATCTACCGGGGGGCCTTAAAGGCCTTTCCCTCTTGTCCCAGCTCTGGACAACTCTGAAAGTCAAACCTAACTTTGTCAGTCTTTGTAGGCTTCATTGAGGACATTGTTGTGACATCATAGCCAAGTTAACCCCGTGCCCAATCCTGCTTCCTTTTCTTCCCCAAAACAGGTATCCATCTCAAGAATATCCCCTAATAAACATCTGCACACTCGTCTCCATCTCAGAATCTGCCTCCTGGTAACCTAACCTACAACGGGAACTGCTAGGCAGGGAATGTCCTGGGAGCAATTAGGGAAGGCTTCATGGAAGAGACGCTGTTTATGTTAGGCCAAATCTCAGCAGATGTAGGGCTTAGTGGGTATCATTGCGCTGTAGCAAAAAGCACAGCCACTTTGTTGGGTGCAGTGGCTCATGCCTGTAATCCCAGCACTTTGGGAGGCCTAGGCAGGCAGTTCACTTGAGGTCGGGAGTTCAACCAAACCTCCTTGAGCCTCGGTTTCCTCCTTAGTCAGTAACATGAGACTGATAATCCCTCCTTCCTATGGTTCTTAGAAGGTTTTCAATCACAGTAAATTTCTTAGCTTCCTCCCCATGGAGACGGGGCTGAGCGGTCTTCCTGTGCACTTGGTCCTGCCTTTTTTTTTTCAACCCATAAAAATTCACCTGTTTTATTTTGTGGGGGGTGGGGAATATCCATTACCTCAGACATTTATATTTTATTTGTATTACAAACAATCCAGTTATACTTTTTAATTTCTAAATGTACAATAAATTACTGTTGACTATAGTCACCCTGTTGTGCTATCAAATGTTAGATCTTATTCATTCTATTTAACTACATTTTTGGCTTGACGCGGTGGCTCACGCCTGTAATCCCAGCACTCTGAGAGCCGAGGTGGGCGGATCACCTGAGGTCAGGAGTTTGAGACCAGCCTGGCCAACATGGTGAAACCCCGTCTCTACTAAAAACACAAAAATTAGCTGGATGTGGTGGCATATGCCTGTAATCCCAGCTACCCCAGAGTCTGAGGCAGGAGAATCACTGGAACCTGGGAGGCAGAGGCTGCAGTGAGCTGAGACTGCGCCACCACACTCCAGCCTGGGCGATAGAGTGAGACTCCATCTCAAAAAATGAATAAATAAAAATAAAATAAAAATATGTTTTTGTACCCATTAGCCATACCCACTTTCCCCTACCACTACCCTTGCCACCCTCTGTCACCATCATTCTACTCTATCTCCATGAGTTCAATTGTTTTAATTTTTAGCTCCCACAAGTAAGTGAGAATGTGAGAAATTTGTCTTTCTGTGCCTGGCTTTTTTCATTTACAATTCCAGTTCCATCCACGTTGTTGCAAATGATCTGCCTCTTCTTTTTAAAACATCCTTATTCATCCTTGTGACGTGGTGAGGTTGGCACAGTCATCCCCATTTCACAGATAAGAAAGCTGGGGCCAGGAGGGGAAAATGATTTGCTTTAGGGCGTCTTTTCATTCCTTCATCAATATTTTTTTTCTTTTTTTTAAAGATACAGGGTCTTGCTCTGTTGCCCAGGCTGGAGTGCATGCAGTGGTGCAATCATACCTCACTGCAATGTTGACCTCCTAGGCTCAAGTGATCCTCCCACCTCAGCTTCCCAAGTAGCTGGGACTACAGGTGGGCTTCACCAAGCTAACTTTTAAATTGTTTGCAGAGACAGCATGTCACTATGTTGCCAAGGCTGGTCTCACACTCCTGGCCTCAATCAATCCTCCTGCCTCAGCCTCCCAAAATGCTGGGATTACAGGTGTGAGCCACTGCACCTGGTCTCCTTCATCAATTTTTTTTTTTTTTTTTTTTTTTTTTTTTGAGACAGAGTCTCGCTGTGTCACCCAGGCTGCAGTGCAGTGGGGCGATTTCAGCTCACTGCAACCTCTGCCTCCCAGGTTCAAACGATTCTCCTGCCTCAGCCTCCCAAGAAGGTGGGACTACAGGTACGTGCCACCACACCAGACTAATTTTTGTATTTTCAGTAGAGACAGGGTTTCACTATGTTGGCCAGGCTGGTCTCAAACTCCTGACCTGAGGTACTCTGCCCGCCTCAGCCTCCCAAAGTGCTGGGATTACAGGCATGAGCCATCGCGCCCGGCTGCTTCATCAATTTTCTTTTCTTTCTGTTTTTTTTTGAGACGGAGTTTTGCTCTTGTTGCCCAGGCTGGAGTGCAATGGTGCAATCTCTGCTCACCACAACCTCCGCCTCCTGGGTTCAAGCGATCCTTCTGCCTCAGCCTCCCCAGTAGCTGGGATTATAGGCATGCACCACCATGCCCGGCTAATTTTGTATTTTTAGTAGAGACGGGGTTTCTCCATGTTGGTCAGGCTGGTCTTGAACTCCCGACCTCAGGTTATCTGCCTGCCTTGGCCTCCCAAAGTGCTGGGATTAGAGGCGTGAGCCACTGTGCCTGGTCCGTCAGAGGCTTATTATTATTATTATTTTGAGACGGAGTCTCACTCTGTCACCCAGGCTGGAGTGCAGTGGCGCAATCTCGGCTCACTGCAACCTCTGCCTCCCAGGTTCATGTGATTCTCCTGCCTCAACCTCCTGAGTAGCTGGGACTACAGGCGCGTGCCACCACACCCGGCTAATTTTTTGTATTTTTAATAGAGACAGGGTTTCACCATGTTAGTCATGATGGTCTTGATATTCTGACCTCGTGATCTGCCCGCCTCGGCCTCCCAAAGTGCTGGGATTACAGGTGTGAGCCACCGTGCCTGGCCCTACCAGAGGCTTATTATTTTTTTTATTTTTATTTTTTTTTAGGCGGAGTCTCGCTCTGTGGCCCAGGCTGGGGTGCAGTGGCCGGATCTCAGCTCACTGCAAGCTCCGCCTCCCGGGTTTACGCCATTCTCCTGCCTCAGCCTCCCGAGTAGCTGGGACTACAGGCGCCCGCCACCTCGCCCGGCTAGTTTTTTGTATTTTTTAGTAGAGACAGGGTTTCACTGGGTTAGCCAGTGGCTTGAGCCACCGCGCCCGGCCGAGGCTTATTATTAAACCCACAGCAACACTGTAAGGTTGGGCTGATCTTGTCCATTTCATAGACCTCAGCTCCAAGACAGGGAAACTCATGTGGCTAAACTGGTGAATGCAGGCCAGCTCCAATAATCTTGTCTGCCGCCTCAGGCCAGCCCTAGGGTGGGTCCTTTCTCAAACTTCAGCGCTCCAGTCCTGCCCTCACTATCCCCCTCAGTGTGGCAAAATCTCAGAGGCTGTAAGTGGCTTTGATGGGTGTGTGCCTGCACAAGCAGAGCGAGCCCAACCTACAGGAAAGCCTCTGCCCAGGCTACAGGAAAGGCAGAGGACACCAGTGTACATTGTGCCACTCCTTTTGAGTCTCAGGCCTCCAAGGTCTTCTGTAATTCAGCATCCACTTCGACCCAGAGGCATCTTTTTGCCTCTGGACAGTTTTGGCCTGGCCGCCTCCCTTCTCGAATCCTCCTATGGCCCCGCACCTACAGCATAAAATCCAAATCCTTTCGCTCTAGTCTAAGCCTTTCATCACCTGGAGCCAGCTGCATCATCACTAACCATTGGCCCAGGCGGCCAAATTCTGAACCAGTTGCGGCTGTGGACTTCGCATATGCTGTTTTCTGTGCCAGGAAAGTCCCAGCTCTCTCTCCCTGTGTTATCTGATCTGCCTGCAACACTCAGGTAGACATCACCTCCTTTTAACCACATTATCCCAGCTGCCAAAAATAGGGCAGACTTTGCTGTCAAACCTGGTTTGAATCTCAGTTCCACTAACAGTGGGACCCTGACCGACTCACTTCATCTTTCTAAGCCTCAGTGGCTTAAAAATGGGGATAATGGGCCGGGCGCGGTGGCTCACACCTGCAATACCAGCACTTCGGGAGGCCGAGGTGGGTGGAACACGAGGTCAAGAGATCGAGACCATACTGGCTAACATGGTGAAGCCCCGTTTCTACCAAAAAATACAAAAAATTAGCCAGGTGTGTTGGCACACGCCTGTAGTGCCACCCCAACCCTGAGGGCCAAGGAGAGAACTCATCCACCAGGAAGGGAGGGGTCAAGAGAAGGGGCCTTGGAAGCCATTTAGAAGGATGGACACTGGACTAACGGCACAGGTCTGAGTCCTGGCCTGCCTAGTGACCTTGGACAGGTCACACGACCTCTCCAGATCTCAGCGTTCTTATCTGTAAAATAAGGGCCACATTGGATGGCCTCTGAAGGCCCTTTCTTTTGTAGCTCCAGGTAATTGTAAGACCCTTTTTTTTTTTTTTTTTTGAGACGGAATCTCGCTCTGTCGCCCAGGCTGGAGTGCAGTGGCCGGATCTCAGTGCACTGCAAGCTCCGCCTCCCGGGTTTACGCCATTCTCCTGCCTCAGCCTCCCGAGTAGCTGGGACTACAGGCACCTGTCACCTCGCCCAGCTAGTTTTTTGTATTTTTTAGTAGAGATGGGGTTTCACCGTGTTTGCCAGGATGTTCTCGATCTCCTGACCTCGTGATCCGCCCGTCTCGGCCTCCCAAAGTACTGAGATTACAGGCTTGAGCCACTGCGCCCGGCCATAAGACCCTATTTTAACTCTGTTTTCCTCCTCCCAGCTTCAAGCCATGCAGGCACAGGGGATTCTCTCCAGGATGGCTCCCTGGGCCCAGATGGCTCCTTCTGTGTCCTTGGAACTCATCCTATTGTTACAGCCAGCCCCTGCCCCTGTCTTTTGGTTAACTCCTTGGGAAAATGTCTCAAGTCTTTTTTTTTAGATGGAGTCTCACTCTTGTCGCCCAGACTGGGGTGCAGTGGTACGATCTCGGCTCACTGCAGCCTCTACCTCCTGGGTTCCAGCTATGCTCCTGCATCAGCCTCCAGAGTAGCTAAGATTACAGGCACATGCCACCACGCCTGGCTAATTTTTGTATTTTTAGTAGAAACAAGGTTTCACTATGTTGGCCAGGCTGGTCTCGAACTCCTGACCTCAGGTGATCCGCCTGCCTTGGCCTCCCAAAGTGCTGGGATTACAGGTATAAGCCACAACACCCAGCCTCAAATCTTATTACCTTTAGTCCAAAAAACTGTAGCAACTTCCAGCTAGTATCCCTCTGGCCTGCTTCCAATTCCACCCTCCACACTGGCAGCCGGAGAGGCTTTTAACATGCAAACATAGTTACACCACTCTTTCACCTGATACTTCAGGGGTTCCCAATGGCTGTGCAGTGGCTTTTTTGTGTGTGTGTGTGTGTGTGTGTGTGTGTGTGTGCAGTGGTTTTCAAACTTTTTATCTGTTTTGAGCATCGGAATCCTCATCTGATGGAATGTTTCTCAGAGCCCTAAAAATGTCCAACAGTTAAGAAAGAAGTTATGCAGACTGAA